CAAAAGCATGGTAAATCTCAGGGCTCTCTTATGCCCACTTGCAACATTCAAGAATCCAACCTCCCAAAAAAACATTCCCAAAACAAAAACATCGTCCCCCCCCCAAAAAAAAAAAAAAAAAACATTTGTTTAAAAAAAAACAAAAAAACTTTAACTTCGTCGACGGTCAACGCCAAACCTTGAATATTTCTACCACCAAACGTGGACCATCCAAACCTTGACCCTTCCAACTCTCCAACTTCCCGTGTCCCCCCATGATAAATCCAACTCTTCTTTTTGAAGGAAAAAGGGAGGGGGGGTATCCTACAGCCCAACTTTCCACTTTCGGCCTGATGTTTCTGGAAAAAAATATGGCAGGGCAGCGCGACCTCACTCATCCCTGTCTTGAGGAGCCCTGATCTGAGGTTGTTGAAATACAATCATTCATCCAGGCTGTTGTGTTTCAGGGCCCGTCCCTTTTGGTGGTGTCAATTACCACCTTTTGCTTGCAAGGTGAGTTTCCTTTACTAAGGGGGCAATGTTGAAAGATCAATTTATGGGCGCGTCTTTTTCTGGGCCGCAAGATAGCGGGCTTTCCTTTTGGTTTCCATTTAAGACCACCAAAGAAGGTGTTCCATCAACATGACACACCCATTCTGTGGATGGACGAAATCCTGCACCACTTGGAAACCATGAAAAACCATTGTTTGTTGGTATTTACAAGGAAATCACCAGAAACCGGGGTTTCTTAGGTGGTTCGAAATGGATTTCGTGCATCCACAGTAGGGCGCCCAGCTCCCCAAAGAAAAAACACGTCTCCTTTGGATGGGCGCTGCCCGGCCCTTCTGCTCCGGCAGCGGCTTGGGCGCTGAGATCCTCGCGAGCTCCTGGCACCCGCGCCGCGCAGGGAAGGGCGGGCGCTTCACGTGCACCACCTGGCCGGAAGCTGACAGAAGGCCTCACGACGCTGAAAACATGGGGTCCATGACCCCTTGTTTATGGGGTCTCAGAGTTGTGCAGGGCTGCAGAGCTACGGCAAACTGCGGATTTTAGTCGTTCCATTTACCAAGGTGCCGTGTTGGCACCTGGAGTCTCCCTAAGCCCTTAAAAAATGGTTGGTCATTACCCAAACAACTTTTGGTCATGGACCCATTTTGGATTCGGGGCAGAAGGAGAGTCAGGCTGTAAATGGAATAGTCTGGGATCCATGGAATCACCTGGCGGATTCCCAGTCTCTCCAACTGCCGGATTGGAGCGTTTGGAGCTTGGCTGAAATCTTTCCCAGTCACAACCCAGGGGTTCAAATCCCCAACCCAAGGCTCAAGGCTTGCCTTTCTTCTAGGGCTCCGGAAAAAGCGAAACAAACAAAGCGAGAACGCCAACCGCCCATCCCCCAAAAGTTTGGTCTCTTTTTAGGGGAAGGTAAACCTGGCTTTGATGGTTGCTTTGGACGTTCACCCTTCTCACTTGGCGTACGGAACCTTTGAAGTCGGGAGCTTTTCTTGGCGTCAGAAGGGCCCCACCCTTCCCAATTCGGGGCTTTACGACCAAACTGATCCTTGCAACACTTGGCTGATTCTTTGTAACTGATTCTTTGCGGACTCCCTTTGGGTTGGTGCTTTGAAGGGATACCAGAAAGGAGGTCAAAAGAACCACTTTCATCATGGTCGCTCCAGACGTGACCCTGACTTGGTCATTGTTTTGAGGTTTATGTTGGTGTCTGCTCCTATTGGTTTCCCTTTCGGGCCCCTGAGTCATGATATTTGTCCTATAGGGCTCCACCCCCCCCTCCCCAAACAATACTCCATGTTGCTGTTTGCGGAGGTTGGAAGTCTGTGACACCTGGCGCCAAAATTTGCCTTCCAGCCAAAACGGGGGTCGCAATCATCAATCTAGTGTTAAATGAGCGCTTCGCCACTCCTCGTGGGATGGGTTGAAGGCACAAATCAACCCCTAGCGCAACACCAACCTTGCTTTTGCTGAGGGGAGGGTTAGGGTCTTGGGCTCTTCCTCTTCAACTTCAAAACAACTCGAGTCGTACAACTATGGTATTGAACGGGGTGGTCCTTTGTCTTTGGGCGGCAACATGTTTCAGTAAATTGCGGATTCGTCCCCTGGAAAAAGAAGAAGAACAAAAACATGAACTATGACCATTTGTGATAGAGTCACGTTAAAACCAACAGGGGAAATTACGAAACAACACTTAAGCAAATGGAAGTAAGGTGGTCGAACACGGATCACGGCATTGACAGAGTCAACCTGAAACTTTCAAAGAATCGAGCGAGCGTCCATTTGCACTGGCTCGTGTCCCCGTGAGATCTGCTTTGAAGCATCCCAGTGGTGTAAGGGAAACTCTACCATAGTTGCAAACCCAATTGCTTCTTGGATCCCCACTTAGGTTCCTTGTTGGACCCCCCAGCCATGTTCACCCCCTAGTGAGCAACGTTGAATCCCCCCCTCTCGCTTAGCCGCCTCCAGGAATTGTCCCGGGGAGGGCTTTCTTTCATTGGCTTTACTTCTGGAATCATTGCTTTTGACGATGCCAGTTTGACCGGGGGCCAGGAATTCCCAAGCCCACAAGCTGCAAAAGAGTCAACGGAAAACACTGAGACAGCATTGGGGCAAACAAGTTGCCAGGAATTCCCTTGCCAAGCTGCAAAAGTCAACGGACAAGTCCAGCCAAGCCCTGCTCCCAAGTCAGGCCCTTTACAACCGTCCCCCGCTCCGCTGGGCTCACGGCATAATTGAGCACATACCTGGCGCTAGCTCGTCTGTCTCCATGCTGTGGTTGGGCGTGGTCTCACTCGGCTTGCCGTCGTCCCCTGTCCTTCTGCCCTTTTAATTGAACACAAAGGGAACTTAAGTTTGCTGATGGTGTTGTCTAAGGGAACTTAAGCATGGTCAGGTAGTCGTGTGGTGTGATTCAAGGAGGCGTTAAAGACATCATGCCATTGAAAAAGCAGCGCAGCAAAACGTACACCAAAGGAAAAGAGAACAAGACATCAATACACACGACCAACACAAGGAACGACACAAAGAAAGCGAAACATAAGTAACAACGATAACAAAGTGCAACATGGCAATTGAAAAAAAGAGACAGATCCGAAGAAACAAATATAACCCCGCAACGAACACAGACACACAAAGCACAATAGTACAAACCAGACACCAAGAACAAAATAAATAACATCCAACAAGAACACATAACCAGCACCAATGTGCACCAACCAAGCGCCACAAAACAAGTATAAACAAACAAACCGAAAAGGAACAAACACCTCTCAAACACAATATATACCAAACAAACACACACACACACACACATACAACAACAAAAAAGGCGGGTGGCAAAACGAAAATACACAACCGGAAAGCAGACACAGAAACAAACTGAAAAGAGACACCGCTTCCAGATCCGTCGGGGCGCTGGAAGTCCAAAGGCTTCGAGGCGGAGCCCTCCATCTTGGCCGGGTTCAGCCCGTCCTCGATGATCGAAAAACGACACGCCCCCCCGTTGATGGGTTTCGTGGGGTTACCAAATGAAAACCAAAACCCATTTGTTAGGGGTGGTTTCGAAACCAAAAAGGAAACTAAAAACCTGTTTTTGGGGGCCAGGTGGGTTGAACCCAGTGATTCTAGGGGCGCCAGGTGGGTTAAACATCCGCCATTTTTTAAGGGCCAGGTGGGTTGAACATGTGTGGTGTGGTGTGGGGTGACTGATCACTGGCACAGTTAATAGCGACCCTTGATATCCCCAGCGGGTGATGTTTCGTACGCATCTTTTAGGACCAGGCCCAGCAGATGTAAGCCACTAAGTGATCACCATACCTAATTGCCCCACAAAAAATCAGCAGATGTAAGCCACTAAGTGATCACCATACCTAATTGCCCCACAAAAAATCACACGCTTGATGCTGGTTGCTCAGTGAACCTTAAAGTGAAACTCCAAAAGAGCTTGCCGAGAGAGCCCTAGCCTGAGATTGTGTCAGGTTTGATACCGGCACCAAACGACGGGGTTTGGCTCAGGTTTCTTCCTGCAAACCGTCTGGGTATAGGTCAAAATTGAACCACCAGGAATTGGACCGCAGGTTCCATCGTCCATGTTTCCATTTACCTATTTTAGACCTATTTTAGACCTATTTTAGACCCATATTTTAGACCCTCCGTCTTTGACAAGTCTTTGACCAGCTCCAAGTGGCATTGGCTGGCTGGCACTTTTGCTCAGCTGGACCTCTGGCAGCAAATTTTCCCAATGGTCTTTTCAGCTCAAAACCTGGGGCTCATGTTGAACTGAGAATCAACTGGCCACCATAACGAATCATCATGTCCATACAACCACTGGAAAGTCAAGCTAAGCATGCTACTGAGAAATCAGAATTAATCATCCGCTGAGCATGATAATAAGAAATCAGATTAATCATCCTTACCCACCAGCAACTGTTTGCCAATACAAAAACATGTCCCCCCTCCAGTCTTTCCTTACCACAGAATGCTTGCCCGCGCTCTCGACCGAGGGGCGTCGCCAAAGGCGAACTGCACCACGTCGCTGGTGCTGGTGCGGACCGTGAGGTCGTACTTCAAGGCTAAATCCTCCAAGGCCTTCATGAGCCGCCTATCGCCGGCGGCCAAACAAAAGCAGCGCCAGCGAATTCACCAGCTCAAGCGGCCAAAAACCGAAGTTGGCCGGAAGACACATGCAGCGATCGCGCTGATAGCCTGTTAATGAATAGATCTACTTTCTATGGGTAAACTATGTAACTGAAACACATCAGCGATGACTCAATCGTCCTTGAGGTGGATCAATACATCAGCTAAGTCACAATCAAACCTGATATTAAAGCCGTCTATCCAGCCACACCTACGGAGCCCACAAATACGCACCTGACCACTTTTAGGCCACCTGGTACTTCATACTGCCTCCGGAACTGACCGGCCTGGGCCAGCCAGCCCTATATATATTAAACAGCGGTTTAACCTAAGTAGATGAAACAAGCGGCTGACATAAGAATGATACCCTGCCTCCGCCCTCCACATACGTATTTTTGTAGGCCCTGTTTTTATGGCGGCTGTTCCCCACCAACCTTCACTTACCCAGAATGATGATTGTGGCTTAGCCTGAAGGGAGCTGCTTTCAGGCAATACAATCTCCCGACTCACATAAAAAGTTCCTCTGGGTAGTTTGGGGGTGTCTTCAAAACAGTGGGGCAAACAAATTTAGGTATTCTCCTGTTGGTGTCCCTTTAAAAACACTCCAAAAAGGGTATCCTAAACAAAAAGACACGCCCATACTCCTTTTGAAATGGGCACCTGATAGCTACTTGGCCCACTTGGATGTTCAAGCCATTGGGTAAGTCTCTTGCGATCACACCGTTGATCCACCATACGAACATCTGCAGGGGCTGCTGGGAGCAAAAAATAAAACTTTAGCAGTTAAGTGGGCATTTCCCACCAAGCCACAACAAGCAAACATGTAAAATGTTTCCCAACAACAACCATGTCTAGTTCTTACCAGGATAAACCAGAATGCAGAGCTACAGGCAGAATACCGCGGTTTCTTACTGAAGCGATTTTTGGAACCTTGAAATCATTAAGCAGATTAAACATCCAGGGCAGCACACGCACCCACTTGACTAACCCATACTCCACCTACTAGCGGGCCAAGTATTGGTTGTAGTGTCAACCTGGGATGAATCAACCTCAATCGATGGATAGGACATGTTTCCAAAAAACGTGAAGGGCGCCCTCTCAAATGGGACACCCGTGCTACTACACCACGACGAGTTGTCTATCCTGAATTCGCAGTGTGTTTAAAAGACATTGCATAATACAAACGAGGCTTCCAGTGTTCACACCCTTCCTTAGTATCTGTTGTGTTCTTGTTTCTGAAAAACCCGGTTTTTAAGGTGAAGCAGGCAAAGACACTGTTTTGTTTTTTCCAGATGCCCAGCTTGTTTGGGTGAATGTGTTGTGGTTGTGAAGAACCAGGTTTCCCGAGGGGGTACATACATGCCTATGTCAGGAAACCCACATAACGTTGCGCGTTTTTCTTCCAGGCCGGGAAAAGTCACAAGTCAGGGAAAGTGCCTTCTTCAGCAAGGGAAGGACATCATCTCGTATGTATTTGTGTTGCGCTTCAAAACAAAGGTGTCTGTAAAACCAAACAAATCATGGTACACCACAATGATATGTTCAGATTCTGCTTCATCTTTAGTCTACCCCCACTCCAAATCTACCATCATTTCGGAGGAGACCCCAGAAGAAGAGGTGGGCGCCCTCATCCGAAGCACGAAACTGCCCACGTGTGGCCGCTTCGGACCGTCTCCATGGCCTCTGCATGTACCCTGTCTCGGCCGTCTTCACCGCCGTGTCCACCAAGCCCTCGCGTCGGCGAACAAGCAACAAGCATAGGCGTCCTTTTAGGGAAATAGATGGCCCTGGTAGATGATTAAACCACCAGGCTTCGACCAAAACAACCAAAAAGGACACCTATGGCCACAAGGCCCTGGTTGGCCCTAAACTTGCCCAGAGCTTCCGGCAAGCCACGGTAGCTTGGGGCAATACTCATGTAACACCTACCTGGAGTCTCCATGACCCTTAAAACATGTTACCCAAGATAATGGGGTCATGGACCAATTTGTAAAGGGTCATGGAGAGTCTAGGTACAGCCGCTATAGTTGTAGCTGGCGAGTTACAATAGCACCAACAGGGCTTCGTGAACGTCGACCACGTTCTTTCGGGACAGGCAGCCCGTGCGCAAAGCCATGTTGGTGGGTAAAATTGTTCCACCATCATCATGTCGGCATCTTGAAGTGCAAGATGCAAAAAGAAGGAACCAGCCGATGCGCACGAGCTAGAACCAACAAGTTTTGGTTCGGCCCTGTCCATCAATCCATCTTGAAAAGGAGTCAGTCCCTCATTGCCCAAGAACCAGTCAGTTTTTTCCAGCCGCTTCGCTTCCAGCCATCAAAGTCCAATTGCTGCAACGTCTCCGTGCCACTCATTTTCTGAAATTGCCAACTCAAACCACTCAAACTCTGCGCCACTCAAACCACCACCAAAGTCCAATTTCTCGCATGCGCCACTCATTTTCTGAACGGAAACCAGCTCTGTGCCACTCAAACCACCACCAACACCCAATTTCTGCCATGTGCCACTCCTTTTCAGCTCTGCGCCACCCAAACCACCACCAAAGTCCAACTTCTGCCATGTGCCACTCATTTTCTGAACGGAAACCAGCTCTGTGCCACTCAAACCATCACCAAAACCCAATTTCTGCCATGTGCCACTCCTTTTCAGCTCTGTGCCACTCAAACCACCACCAAAGTCCAACTTCTGCCATGTCCACTCATTTTCTGACCGGAAACCAGATCTGTGCCACCAAAACCCAATTTCTGCCATGTGCCACTCCTTTTCAGCTCTCACTCAAACCACCACCAAAGTCCAACTTCAGCCATGTGCCACTCATTTTCTGAACGGAAACCAGCTCTGTGCCACTCAAACCACCACCAAAACCCAATTTCTGCCATGTGCCACTCCTTTTCAGCTCTGTGCCACCCAAACCACCACCAAAGTCCAACTTCTGCCATGCGCCACTCATTTTCTGAACGGAAACCAGCTCTGTGCCACTCAAACCACCACCAAAACCCAATTTCTGCCATGTGCCACTCCCACCCAAACCACCACCAAAGTCCAACTTCTGCCATGCGCCACTCATTTTCTGAACGGAAACCAGCTCTGTGCCACTCAAACCACCACCAAAACCCAATTGCTGCCATGTGCCACTCCTTTTCAGCTCTGTGCCACCCAAACCACCACCAAAGTCCAACTTCTGCCATGCGCCACTCATTTTCTGAACAGAAACCAGCTCTGTGCCACTCAAACCACCACCAAAACCCAATTTCTGCCATGTGCCACTCCTTTTCAGCTCTGTGCCACCCAAACCACCACCAAAGTCCAACTTCTGCCATGCGCCACTCATTTTCTGAACAGAAACCAGCTCTGTGCCACTCAAACCACCACCAAAACCCAATTTCTGCCATGTGCCACTCCTTTTCAGCTCTGTGCCACTCAAACCACCACCAAAGTCAGCTCTGTGCCACCCAAACCGCTTGGATTTCTCAGACCTCCGACTTCCTCGCGCCTCTCGGCCGCCCATGGTGTGGAAGAAGAACTCCGGCGCCTCGAGCCCCGAGTAGAAGCTGTTGGCCACGAAGCCCCGGGCCTGGAACTTCTTCCGACTCCGCTCCAAAGGGCCCAGGAAGTGGATGGGTTGGACATAAAATGTTTGGCCCAGGAATTCCCATGGTTGGGAAAATTTGGACCTTTGGCCATAATGGCCCAGGAATTTGAGTGGTTGTCCCTAAGGACCCTTTAAATATGGGTGGTCATTACCCAAAATCATGGTTGGTCATGGACCCACTTTTAAAGGGTCATGGAGAGTCTAGGTGGACATAAAATGGTTGGCTCAGGAATTCCAATGGCTAGGAAAATTTGGACCTTTCGCCATTCGTGGCATAAAATGCTGGCTTCGGGGCCGAAAAATGGCCCGGGAAGATGGCTGGACAATTTGCACCTTTGGCAATTCGTTGGATATAAAATGGTCATATATGGTTGGACCTTTGGCCATTTGTGGCATACGATTGCTCCGGGGCAGGAAGTTGGACAAATGGCTCCGGGAAGTCGACATAAACATCCCCATGGCCTCGTGATTGGCAAATCCCCACCTAAATGATGTCCCCTCAATGATGTCTCCCATGAAAATTCAGACCCAACTTGAACCGACACTTTGGGTTTCGCGCTGGCTAGGCAGGTTTGGGCGGTGTCAAGGTGGGTTTAGGGTCGGTTTAGGGTTTGTTTAGGGTTGGCTGAGGGGGCTGGTTTGGGGATAAGATGGTGTCAAGGTGTTGGTAGGATTGGTTTGGGGCTGGCTGAGGTTGGGCTTAGAATGAGCTTCAGGTGGGCTTAGGGCGGAGTTTTCAAAGTTTTGCTCAAACCGCCCCCTTCAGCGCAGCATGTTGAGATTCAAGTAGCGCCAAAAAGGGAAGACCAATGCCCACTCCACAGCCCAGAAATCGATCGTCAGTCCGCCACTCCAGGGGAACAATCAAAGCAGTTTGGCGACCCAACGACAGTGCGTTGCCCTCGGAACATACCGAGCCGCTCGTTCTGAGCCAATTTGACCCCAGGCCAAGACTTGGACAAAGGAAACACCCTCCCGAGCTGAAACTTTTTCCCAACACGCTATTTAAAAGGAGCCTCTGCTGGAGTGATAGTTAACTTTGAAGGGGAACCCCCCCCCCCCCCGCCAAACAAAAAAAACAACAACACTAAGCAAAGGACATGCAAAAACAAGCTGACTACAGCTCCAAGAAGCAAGTTGAAAAAGAAAGCCGGATGGCACTGAAGGAGCAACTTGCCGGTTCGATCAGGGAATCAGGGAATGACCCCTATGAACCTCCTTTTCGGGAATCCCATAACGGTTTCCCCAAACAGGCGATCCAAACTCAGGCTATTGTCCTACAGAGCAAGAAAAAGCACATGGAACAAGACTCAGATGCCCAGTGGGAATGACAAAAAAAAGGGCATCCTTTTTGGGTTGCTTGAGTTTCAAGGAATCGGAACCCTTCCCCAAAAAAGAGGAGAAATAAAACAACGGAAGCCCCTGGTTGCAACTGGGGATGTCCACTAGGTCCTCCAGATTTGAGAGGTTAGAATAAGTTGGTACCAACTGTTTTCTGTCTATTTTAGTTGGGGATCCCCCAAAGCAAAAAGACAGAAGCCTACCCGACTTTTTCTTTCTGTACCCGATTTTAGGGAACGGACCCCTCCCCCAAACCTTCGGCTCCGCCTTGGGCTCCTTGGAGCCCTTCGCGAAGTGCGGCAAGGTGCGGTTCACGAAGCCGTCCTGAGAGCGAGCGGCTGAGCGCGGCTGGGGCCAAACAACGAAACGTCTGGGCGAAAAAAAAGAAGAACAAAAACGACACCTCTGGGCCGGCTGGTTTGTTTGCGCGTTTGCTTGTTTGTCTGTTGGTGTGCTGGTTTGCAGGTATGTGGGTATGTAGCCATGTAGGTATGTTTAGGGTGGCTAAGACTTAGCCGTCATGACGCAGCTGATGGGATGATGGCATGATGGGACTTTAGGGTCAAGCTCACAAAACGCGAGGTCCCAACAAGGCCGTCTCCCAGGTTCATCCTCACACTGTCCGGCACTCCACCTCAGAACCCCTCGAGAGGTCCACAAATTCGGTGATCTACAAGGCACACCTCTTCCATCGAATTTGGGCTCGAACCAAGCCTCCAAAGGGAGGGCCTCGAGGGCAGGGTTGTTTTTTTCGTGTGCCTGATGCAATGGTGGAACTGGGTTTCTCATGGTTGCCGGGGAAGAGGTGTGTGAGACCTGAGAAATTTTGGAGGTCTTGCAAGGTTTCCTCGGTTCGGAAGGATCATGTGCAATCCTTTCTCCCTGGAAATACCTGCACCCTGACAAGTATTGTTTTTCCCCAGAATTCCGGATCCCCAATGAATCATGTTGGCTCCGGTGACAAGGGTGCTCATTTGAAGCACCTTCGGAGCGCCTTTGAAAAGAAAGGTGTGGTGTGAGAGCCCCATCTTAAGCTCTGGCATGGTGAGCTTCTTCTTTTCTTTTGGGGGAGGTTCATGAAGGTCCCATGAGTCTTAAGGGGGGTCCTGAACAGAAAACCACAAATACCCGGGCTTGATTGCGTTTAGCAGGACAACTTGCTTTGAATGACCGCAACCTCTTTTAATACTTGTTCATTGATGGAACAAAAACAAGTTGGGGTCCAAACAACAGCATCCCCTGCGATTAGCTTTTTTGAGAGGGTCCTTAGGTCCCAATCTTAAACATTGAGGCTGCACGGCGGCAATTTCTGATAAGCATATGTCACTGTGTGATTGCCGCAAGCGGCCACCCCCAATAGCTGGCTGGCTTCCCAAGTGGTATCCCAGCGAACATTAAACAAACAAAAGCTTTATGGTTCTGTGGATACACCTAGGCAGGGTGTCAACCACAAAGCGAACAAATTGCAAAGCAAATGTCAAAACACACGATTAAACAAGATGCAATAGACCAGTCCCAGAGCTTCCAGTGATACGAAGCAGGCAAACATGGGAACCATCATGCAAAACCTGGAGGTAGAATGGTCACCCATCATATCTTCTGAACAACATATGCTACAATTATTTAAAGCCCAACATGAAAGCACACGTCTGAACACCGACCTATGGGCCTTGTCCATTTTCTGGTGCCTAGCCGGGCCCTGCGTTTCATTGCAGCATGGTGGCAAATAACCCTTTCAGTGATAACAAAGTTCATTCCCATAACTACTGTACCTCTTTAAAGGGGATAATGAAACCGGCAACCTAGAACTCGTTTGCCACGTTGGCCTAAGTTTGCGCTCTGCCCTGTCCTTGATCCGCTGGCCCCCCACATTCTGCTGGCCCACGCCTGCACGCGACGCGCATAAAAAAGCGGCGCGTTCTGCAAGTTGTGTTTTTCCCCCGAGCAGAGGGCAATCCCCTTTTGCTCAAAGTTATCCAGCGAAAATGCACCAATGCTTCTTTGGAGGGGGTATGTAGGAAATATGGCAGTGAAGAAACCCGCAAGGAAGGGGGGTCATTTTCCAAAGACCAAGACGCCAAACTCTTAGGCTGCACATGTTGAGTGGCAAAATGCGGGCCAGTGAGATGCTCAGCTGTCCTCGGTTACACCTTGCAAATTCTTAACAAACATTTACGCGAAACCTTACTGGAGATGTGTGAAAGCTTCCCCTCAAACTTTGAAAGGAAAATGGTCTTCCAGGACCCCCCGAACGTCAGGTTCCATGTAAATTGGTGCGAGGGTACCAGAATGTGACATTAGATGATCAGATCTCCATTCTGATCAGGTGGACCAGGTATTGATGGTTGCAGGTACCAGAATGTGACATGAAAAACCAGATGTGACAGCTACCAGAAAATGTGACCAGGTACCATGTATTAGATCAACCCAACATGTGACCAGAACGAAAAATGGGCCCTCAGATTGGATTTCTCCAACTTATCCACCATACCTCAAAGGGGGAGGGGCGGTCAGATCCATCTGTCGGCAGAAAGAGAAATGGCAACACAGGGATCCTTACATTATACACCTGAACATTGCCTTGTAAATGAAGGCTTCCCTGTATTTTGGTGGAACGAGCCATGTTTCAAATGGTTGCAAAATGTATATTTTAAGAAGCCCTGAAACACCGGAATTGAATTACTGTCAGGGGGGGGGGTCTTCTGCCGAATCCCTGAACACAAGCTTGACACATCTCCAAGGGGCCCAAGCAAATTCCGCTTGAAAAAACAAGCTTGGCTTGGATGCTCCACTACCTGGTAGGTTTCATTCAAGGTTGCAAGTGGGACAGGGGTTTGTTGTGTGGTCTATGAACTAAGTAGGTTGAACATCCAAGAGCAGCCCCCACAAGGGCTTCCACCAATCCTCGAGTCGGAAGCACGGTTACCCTTCCACCAAGAATCATTTCTTGCTGCATCTCCTATAAGAACATAAACTTGTCCACCAAAAACTTGGAAATTTACGCTACCAAGAATAAGTTGCGTTTTCTTGCACCCGTGCAAGCGGTCATGGGAGGGTACCACAAGGGCCTTAACTAGTCTGGCGTGGTCAACGCATTATACGACCAACCAAATTACTTCAGCATAGGAGAATCGTCCGTGTGATCAAGGCCCCTTGGCAAGCGTCACCCTACAAAGAGACAACGAACTCTTGGTCGCAAAACAGTGATGTTTTAGACCACCCAGGTGTACCGGGGTTTCTATAAATGAACCCTGACAGTTCCCTGGGACCACAATCACTCCCTGGAAACTTGTGCTTTCCCCCAGGAAGGAACCTTCAGAACTGGCGCTGGAAAAACGGAACTTGCGGCGACGTGAAGATTTGTCCAGCCCCGGATTTGGTTTTCAGGCCAAGTGTGTTCCCCTGCAAGCTTTGCGGTCTTTCCTCGGAAATTCCAGGGGGTCCTTTTCTGGGGCTGTGGTGGGCAATAATTTCTGGGTTGCAGGGGGTCCTTTCTGAGGCTGTGGATAGTTGCAGAGTTGCCGAGGCGCACGCCATCATCTGGCAGAGGTTGATGGGGCTGCCCTTGGAGCCGCAGGTGGCCATGATGCGAGGCTTGTTGTAAAACGCCAGCTTCTCCTCACCTCGAGGCTCGCGTCTTGCTCGGGACGCCACGAATTCGGTCCTCCAGTAGAGAGGTTAGAATAAGTTGGTATCCGATTTGTTTTTTTCAGGACGTCGATTTTAGTAGGGGAACCCTCCCAACCAAAAAAGGAGAGAGAAAGGGCACTACTAGGGGACCTAGACCAAATCTTAAGCCAGCAACGTGCCAACCCCAGGGCCATGTGTTCTTTGAGGCTTTGGTTGGAAGGGAAAGCAAAAGGAATCCGCCATTTTTGTAGCCCTATGTTGACACATGTTAAATTGGGTCGTGAAAAACATGGTTGGTCCTTAAAAGGGACCGGGTGCCGCCGAAGAAGCCTCCTGTTAGAGGGGATACGAAACAAGGCAGCCAATTTTGACAGCCCCTCCACTTGAGTCACAACCAAAGTCCGGGTCTCTTGAAGACGAGTATCGGTGCCATGTTGGTGGGAGGAAGGGTAGCAACTCCAAAACAATGTAAAGATTCAAGAGGGCGGATATCCGCACCTATGTATGCTTGGGACAGTCCCTTACTTTGCGACACTGAAATGAGGGTTGCTTGTCGCTCACTTCTAGTGATTCATAGGCCACCTTGGTGTCCTCCAAACATTGCCTTTTGGGTCTTGTTTTGGGGAAACAGGGAGAGGGGGGTTTGGACTCCATCAAGCCTTGCTAATGCCGCAAGTCGCCTTCCAACACACTCAACGATAAGACATTTGGAGTTCAAAGCAAGGACTTCTGACCCAAGGAAAAAAATGAAAGACACAGCCGCGTCTCTGAAAATCTTGAATATTTCAATGTGGTTTGATAAATTTGGAATATGTTACGTCAATTTGGTTGTCTGGAACTCTTTGGCAGATTGAAACGCCTAGCAACAAATAACCCATGTCGCACGTTGAAAAAGCTCCACTGTCGGCTGTCATGACTGCACGACCAATACTATGAAACGAAAACATGACATCTGCTCGATTCGAGCAATGTCTGCAAGCGAGTCACACATCCCGCCAACCAAATCGCGAATACGGCCCAGCTCTCCGTTCACCAAAGCTTCCAGCGTCTGTTCTGCATTACACCCGGGCTTGTTCTCCAGTGTTCCTGTCAGGTCCAATGCGAACGAATGATGCTTCGACACATGATTCAACCACAAGCCCTGGTGTAAAAGCAGGATCCCTGGAAATCACGGCTTAGCACTTGATCGAAAAAATGGTTCGGCAATTGTCTGAAAGCAGATCCGGAAACAAAAAAGGGATGCGGCGCAGCTTGAAATATGGGCTTGTCTCAAAGGGGAACCCTTCAAAATGTGGGGGAGAGGGGGGTGGTTTCTTTTTTGTGTCCGTCTAAAAACAACTTTCAATAGGGCACCCTCAAACACAAAGACGCCTGGAATGCACCATGCCAACTCCTTGACGGGTTGGGACTTGCCCGGGAACTCCCATCTCATTGGGCTTTAAAAAACATTATTAGTTGTTGATTAGATAGGCCCCGGGTGGTATCCCCGAGCCACGGAACCTTTCAGAGCCTATCCGGGCGGAGACCTTTCAGCTGTTGGGGGGGCGGGGGGGGGGAAAATCACTGGGATACAACCTGCCTTGGATTGGAACCCAACCCCCCTTCAACTCAACTTTATGTTCCAACCCTGCATTTTTCCAACTTGATGTTTGGTTGCTGGTCCCAGAATCACAATCCCCCTGCTTGTTTGGGCTAAAGGTTGCAAACGCCCAGCCAGTGGTTCTTAAGGGAAACAGCTGGATTCTTGAAAAGCACGGTAGTTGAACAGAACCAAGCATCAGCTTCAAATGCTTTGCCAACCAATTTGAGCTAGACCCCTCACTCTTGGCTTACAAGCCCCCAGGCCCAGAACGGCATTTGCAAGTCTTGGCCTCATAGGCAACCCGGAAATATAAACACAGAGGAGACCCCACAGCCTGCACTGTACTGGCTGATGTACGCTGCCACCGTCTCATACTTCGCCGCGGTGATCCGTCGCTTCTCGGTCGACACTTTGCCGCCGCCGCGCCCATACTCAGCGTTCACGTCGTCGATTCCTAAGCGAACACTCCACGGCTGGCCCAAATCTGGGATGTGTTCGTGTTCTGTGTGAGATTTGGCCAAGCCGAAAACATGGAATAAACTTGGAGAAAACCACAAATTGGGGAGATCTTGGGTCCATGTTGGTAAGACATCCGCCAAATGCTCGAAACTATCCTCAAAATCACCCCAAAAGGTACCTTGTAGAACCAACCAAAATGTTCACCTCAATGTCCAAGGAACCCGTGCATGTGTATATACATATGTATTATGCAAATCCATGACACTCTGCAAAGTAAGTCTGCAGTCATACACCGGGAAAAAAAGCCGAGCTGAATGCCGCTCTCTCCCTCCCCCAGGTTCGTTGAGCCGCGGGAAGAATGGAGTCTTTGGAACAAAGTCAACATGGGGTCAGGCACCCCCTTGAAGATCTTGCCCCCATCCACAGTGTCCCATCAGTTTGGTGGCTTCAGCACAAACATCCGAAATGTAGCCTAGGTCCTCCAGTAGAGAGGTTGCAATAAGGGTACCAACTTTTTCTGCAGTTTATTTTAGTGGGGAACCCTCCCCCGAAAAAGAAACAGGGCACCTAGCTGGGGCACCTAGTAGCGCGGGTTAGGCAGACAAAAATTCCAAGGCTCCGATGGTGAAGCCCCGGTTCATGAGCCAGCGGCTGGTGAGCTTGGCGATGCCTTGCAGTCAATTGGGTGTGGGTCAAAATAAAACCACCAGGAATTGAGCCGCAGGTTTTAGTCCTTGGTTCCATTTACCAGGGTTTCATTTTGGGTACCTATTTTGACCCACAGCCAAATCAGTTCGGGCTTACTCTGAATTCAACCCATTGCAACCGTTCTGTTGGCGGCGCCGTTCAACCCATTTCGACCTCTTAATATGTCAGAGAGATACTCACAGGAGACTACACGCTATACAGTGTAGCAAACATGCTTCAGATTTCACCGGCTCCATCATCTTGCTACCGCTTATCTGGTGGCAAGTTGAAGGGAGCGACCAACGGAGATTTCTGATTTTGCTGCCTAGAAGCCAAAATCATGGGCAGCGAAGGGTCGAAACCTTTGGGACCGCAAAAACAAGACCCCTCAAAAAAAAGATGCCTATATGTTACATTTTAGGCTGGACTACATATGACACAGAGTCCGAAATATGATTTTCTCTGCACCCAGATGATGGCCTAGTTGGGGCTGTAGATGGTTGAAGATCGGTATATGCATGCGGGTGGTCGACCCAGAAAACCGCTTGAGCTCACGAAGCTCCTTGAGTCGAGTCAAATATCGTCAAGGTCTCAGGGTTGCTCCCACTCAAGGCTAGACATCTTGGCTTCCTTTGGCCAAGTTTCGACCCTCAGGAAAACCCAAAAGCAACACCATCACGTTGGAGGGTCCCCTGAAAAAACACACACAACAAATCGCCCAACTCTGCTTGGGGGAAGTGGAACACAGTGGAACTGTCGGCTTTTTGTTGAAGTCTCTGGCTCCGAGCTGCGGCTCATGCAGTCGATGGCGCTCTGCGCCCCGCAGTCCCGGATTAGCCGGAAGAAGAGGCCGTTCTTGGCGCCCCCCAAGACCTGCGGGTGCGCCCTCGCGCGCGTTGGAAGCGTTGTGTCGCTTTGTGGTCGTCTTCCCTTGCCAACCTCCAAAAAGAGTGGGTTCTTCCTATAACCTCCGAGAAGAGTGGGTGTTCGGTTTTCGCTAGGATGTTTCTCTCAACCAGACCAGTTTCAAACTGCGTTGAACCGCTTGGATGCTCAACCTACGTCAGGTAGGTCCTAAAAACCGTGGTTCTGACTGAGTGGAGGGAGGGTTGGGGGTGGGCAAAACCACACATGGGTTGTTCAACATCTGCCGCCCTTTCAAAAGATAGCAAAAAAGGACCTTGATTTTGACAACCCCCCACTTGCCTTGTCTCGTTGATGCTTGATATACCTGGTTCCTGGGGTCGGAAACGGTCATAACGTGCACAGGTTTGAAGGTTGTCGGTTCTCAGCTAGGCATGAGTCGCTGGGTGTAGCTGGTCCTAAACTTACGACTGAAAGAACATGTCTGTGGAGGAGGGTGAATCTCAGGGGTAAGAAACTTCGGCTGCCTTGGTTCTCAGATGTCGGGAAGTTCCAAGCGACCAAAACACCACCAACTGCTGGGTTTCTGAAAGATGATCCTGAGAACCAGTACTCTTCATCGCTTCTTTGGCCGGAGGGTTTTGGAGGGAAGCCAGCCAATCAGAAACTCAACTCCTCCTTCCTTCTTGACTTCGAGCTTCGTTTCGCAGGGCTTGCCTTTGAGTCTCGTTTTACCTGGAGTCTCCCTAAGGACCCTTCAAAAATGGTTGGTCAGCCCCAAATGGTTGGTCATGGACCAAGGTTTATTTCAAGGGTCAGAAGGAGAGTCCTAGGGAACCTCGGGGCATTAGTCCCAGGGAAAGGGATCGAGGGGCGAGTGAGCTGGTTGGAGTCTGTCAGGTCGAAGTCTTCGCCCAGCGAACGCGGCCAAGCCTCTAGTCGCTAAATCAAATAGGTCCTTCAGTAGAGGTTAGAATAGGGGTGCAACAACTTTTTGCTGCATGCTGTAGTCTACTTTAGTAGGGGAACCCTCCCCCAAACAAGGGCAAAAGGGCACTGGGGGACCAAGACTACAAACAATATAAAACTTGCCACGTATAATCATGACTAAATATGAATTTAAGTCCCCCGCAACCCCATTCTAATTATTAAGGCCCTTGTATTTTGCATCACCGATGGACTTTCCTCGCAAGCACAAATGCGAATGAATTGCAACAATTCACCAACTTGAAAGAAGGAACCACCAGGAAATAGCTTTCACTTTGGGTCAGGTCACAAACCCCGTTGGTGAGGTCAGTGGTTGTCGGCTTTCTCAAAATCCAATTTTCCACAAGACCCGCGGCCGAGGTCCTTCGCGCAAACTACAATGCACCAAACCTGGAAACACAAAATCCCCCTGTTTTCCTTCTTAGGGCTCCTTGTGCTTGAGCCCTCAAATCCCAGTAAGGCGCCTTGGCCGAGTCGGCCGGACTCTGGCAATGCGCCGGATGGGTTTGCGGTATCATCCATAGAGAGGTTTTGAGAGGCCTCAAACCGTGGGCCACATCTGAACCACGAAAATCATAGCTTCATATTTGCTCACCGCTTATAACATGATTTTAGATGAGACCAGAGCTCAGAGCTACGTTCAAGCGTGCCTTCTTGCCCAAGTTCCCGCTGAGCAGCTCGGAGTTGCGGAACAGCACCCAGCCGTCCTGCCTGGTGCTGGGAAGGGGATCGATCAGCCCCCTGCAAGGTGTGGAGCTTCCAATTTGGTTTCAATGATTTTGAAAGGAACAACAACCCTTTGGGGATCCAACAAGGAAGCCCTCTTAAACAGGTGTTCTCGTTTGTTCCGCGGGGAACTGGCCGTTCTTGGTTGCCATTCTACCACATGCGACGAGGCCTGGGAAAATATGTGCTCCCGGCATCTTCAGAAAGGCCCTCCAATAGGGAGGAGTGCTTGCAATTCAAAAAGAACAGGTTCGAGTTTTCCAGATTCTTAGGGCAGGTGAAAAGCTGCGCTGGAAGCAGTTCGGTATTTGCACACACACACACAAGCACACAAGCGCACACACGCACACACACAAAGGCAAATCAACACAAACAATAAATCATCAAGCATCTAGACTTACATTATTTCTGTTATATCACTTTACTATATGTGTTCATGCATTAGTTAAACAATATAATCAGAATGACTTAGGAATCGACTATTTGTTACAGTATCTGCATTCCTTTGGAACCTCCAGTACATTAATATCAGCCAGATAAGACTAGAATCTTTATTGTGTAAGCAGTACATTGCAAGGCGTTCGTATGATCCTCTTTCTAGCAATGCCTAACTTGTTTGGAGGATTTAAACTTCCTTTAAACCAAATTATCTCCGGAAGGGTCCCGTGCAAATGGAATGTACCGCATGCAGCCACAGGCAAAATGGTTTGGTTGGGGACCTTCCCCAAAAGTAAATATTAATAAGGGTTTGTCTTAAACTAAGGGGCCAACCAAAAACACGGTGGGTTGTTCTTGGTTTCCCTTAAGAACCAACCAACAGGGGGGTGCCCTTTCAAAAAAAGACAGCCATGTGTGCATGTCCCAGCATTCTCAACAGGCGAACAAGTGCATTTCCGTTGAAACCGCAGGCATTGCGGTGACTTGGGCGATCAACTTGAAAGGGGAATCTCTCCCCAGTTGGTTTGTGAACATAAATCCCTGCCAAAGTATGATGTCCACCAAAAGGTTCCCAATACTCATTCAACTGCGTGTCTTTTTTCAGGGTACCCTGTGTTGGGTTGGTTTCAAGGGAAACAAAATGGACGAACCCCACCCATTTTAAGGGTTCCCCTATTTCAAGACGACCAAGCTGCGGGCACATGGACTCACCCTTCTTGGTGTAGTTCTTCTCAGGCACTTCCTTGGAGTAGGGGCAACTGGGTGTCGACTTCTGCGCGGTGTTCCAGGGCAACCTCCAAAAAGAGTGGATGTGTGGTTTTGCCCGTTGCTCCTCGCAAACAAACGACCCACATTTGGTTTAGCGACTACCTGGATGTTCATCCTGCGTCAACTGAGTATGTTTTAATCAGGGTTACAAGTAGGTCAATAGGGGTTGGTGAGCTATGAGCATGGCTATGATCTACTAATTAGGCTGAACATCCAAGTAGGCGTGTCATTTGGTGCCCTACTACCCTTGTTGTGTCTTATGTGGATCTTGCCATGGATTGGGCGTGTTCCGGCGACTGATCATGACAAGCGGAGAACGAGTGGGTGTCCATGGATTTGCCTTAAACCCACCCCAAAAACAACGACTGGTTACCCTTTGCACGACAAAACGCTGAGGGGCAAAACAAATCCAAGGCAAAACAGCCGGAAGACAAACCACATTCCAAAGCAAAAGGCACGGACCAAAACAACACCAAAAAACAACAAGCACCAAAAAGCAACACAAAAAACACAAGAGCCACAAACAAAGAACAACAACAAAAAACACAAATACCACAACAGAAACCAAAAAAGCCAACAAAAACACACCCGCCGCCCGGTGTCCAAGTTCACGTAGACCTCCGTGCGCCGGTTGGGTCGAAGCATCACAGAGATGGCCTGCTTCCCCGTCCACAGCTCACACGGCTTCAGGATCGCCGGGGGTGGAAGCTCGATGGGCTCCTTCGCGTCCTGGGTTTTCACTGAGCATGTTGGAAAATAGCACCGAGAAAAAAAAAACATACGAGCATAGACCCCAAGAGAGTGGTGTCAGCCAACGAACTAAAAATGCCCGTTTCAATGCAGCGACGTACGTGCCATGCCACCCGGCAGAGCGGCCAAAATATTTCTCATAACAGAGTGCTCCGGCAGTTCGCTTGCCAAAGGCCTGCGTAGACAACATTGCAATATTAGCACTGACATGCCCGAGTTTTGGTGGATTTGCTTAACGCGCCGCCTTTCACAGCCAATGTTTTCGCGGATTTCCTTAACGTGCCGGGCAGAGCGGCCAGCATAATTCTCACAACAGCAAGAGCGCTGCGGCAATTCGCTTGCCAAAATATGCACAGTTAATGTCGCAACATTGGCACCAAGAGCACCAGCGACACCCTGAAGCAGCATGCGCGACTCTAAGGTTCGGTCTGCAGAGTTACCTTGCAGCCTAGCACCTGCGCAACTCTGAGTCTCGGCTCGGGGCAGCACCCTGCCCTGCGACAGCACCCTGGAACAGCACTCTGCAGCAGCAGCCGGCAACAGCACGCTGCCTTCAGCACCCTGCGCAACTCTGAGTCTCGGCTTGTGCTGCTGCAACTGCGCAGCTCTGACTCTCAGCCTGCGGCAGCGCCCTGCAACAGCACCCTGAGGCACCCTGCGCACTCTGCGTCTCGGCATTGCAGCAGCAGCCTGCAGCAGCACCCTTCACAACTCTAAGTCTCGGCCTGCGGCAGCACCCTTCAGCACCCTTGCAACAGCACCTGGCCGGAATTCTGAGTCTCACCCACCTCTCCTTTACTTGAAGTTAGAACCCCTATAGCTTTCAGCTATCTGGGGAAAAACATTTACTTTACAAAAACAACACACACACACAGACTCATTCAGTGTGGTTTAGCTTGGCTTAGTTAGTTTAGCTGTCCCACCAAGTAAACACGCCAAATAACGCGTGTTAATCGATGAACTTAGGTCTTGGACAAGTCAGCCACTGGTGTCCGACGGGGAAACAGTATCTTGTTCTGCTTATGGTAATCCAACACCCAGCACAAGAAAACATGGTCGAAAAGGGATACCCTTTGTGTTGGCTGTTTCACTTCAAGGCAAATCAGCTCTTGATTAAGCAAAAACAACAAGCTACAAACACACTTCAGCATTGGTTGATCTTACCATGAAAGCCACCGAACAAGGGAGTGTATGAAAGCAAACTCCTAAAACTGCCCTGCACATCTGTGGACAAAACATCAACCGCAGAACAACAATAAACACACATACCCCCTGCCCGACAAACAAGAGAGCATAATTTCACTTTGATGTACCGTACCCAAAGAAAAAATGCCAAGGTAAAAGCCGTTTCAATATAGCTTGTCAGGGGCAAACCATTAGGATCTTCAAGAAAACACAGGCGCCGAATGTGCGCTGGGCGTCTGTCAGGAAGCAGCAAAGCTGGCAGAACTTGTCTCGCGACAAGAACCTCAGGGCAATGGAGGGCACCCAAGAGAGTTCCTTATATCAGCTTTCCTCTAGGTGGTTTGGATTGGTAGAGGCTTTTGGAAAGTTTCTCACTTACCCTCTACAAACCATTGGCTGAAACCTCAAGCCACCAACCCGAACCACCAATTGAGGGTAGCCTGATTATGACGGTTCCAGCGACGCGACGTTGCCACGGAAAACGCTAGGGCACTACTGCCCACCAATGCAGCCGTATTGCCGGTTGCTCATGTCGGTATGGGTCAAAATTAAACCAGGGGACCGCAGGTTTTAGTCCATGGTTCCATTTACCAAGGTTCCATTTTGGGGTTACCCTATTTTTGACCCACAGCCATGTGTGTCCTAGGAACAGCCCGCACAAAATGTGGCGGAGGAACGTTTTCATTTGTCTCGTTGGCAACATTGAACATCACCCCAAGCAAGACTTCAATCAACAGCCCCAGAATTGGCCCAGACCTGGGGCACACAGCAATTTCGTTTTTTAGTCTATCACTAGGTCCTTCAGTAGAGAGGTTGGAATAAGGGTACCAACTTCTTTCTGTAGTCTATTTTAGTAGGAGAACCCTCTCCCAAAAAAGGGCAAAAGGGCACTACTGGGGGACCTACATCATGTCATCATGTCTACCATAAACTCACTTCCCGAGTGGCAGAAAAAATCGGAACTTACATCGTACTTTTTGAGGAGACACCAGAAAAGGTGATGCTCGGATATGCTGGGTTTGCAAACATGGGGGGATTGCTGATCCTAATCCGTTCTCCGGTGCGATGCCAAAATAAAGGAAGCCCACCATCTGGCATACGAATTAAGAACTGATTCTACAAACCCAAAGCTTATAAACCCCTTGTAGGGGTTTGTCTCAAAATAGATCTCCAAATGTGTGGCCTTCCTTTTGTCCCCCTTTAAAACCCCCAAAAAGGTACCCTCAAAAAAAGACACACCCATATACTGCTCATGTATTTCATAGGGTTGGTACCAGTTGACACTCGTACGTGGTTCTTGCCCACAAAAGGGCGCAGGCAACCCACCAAGTGATTCGATCCCTTTAAAGACCAAAAGAAAATGCTCAGTTGCCTACGAGAATGGTAACTAGGCTCACTGGGCCAGATTGGGCCGTTCTCAGGCACCGTTTGGAGAAAGATCACCGTTTTGAAGTGGAGCATTGTGCGTGGGGCTCTGCTCCCATAGACGTTGGTTGGCATGCAGAAAGCCCTTCGCTCCAAACGTTTAAAAAGCCAAGGCGGCGCGGCCGAAACCCAAGCGAGCAAACTGTTTCCGGACGGGGTAAAACTGTGCGCAACTCTGAAGTACACCCAAAATATGCTCTTCTGACTCTGCTTCATTCACACATGGTCTACCCCAGAAGAGGAGAACACACACATAACACCTATCACGTGCAACATAAACTCATGCCTAAAGTTTCCAAAGGGTCATGCAGACTCCAAGCACATTTGCCCTGGCAATCAATCAATCAATCAATCAATCAACCAACCAACCAATCAATCAATCAATCAATCAATCAATCAATCAATCAATCAATCAATCAATCAATCAATCAAATCAATCAATCAATCAATCAATCAATCAATCAATCAATCAATCAATCAATCAATCAATCAATCAATCAATCAATCAATCAATCAATCAATCCAATCAAATCCAAATCAATCAATCAATCATCAATCAATCAAATCAATCAATCAAATCAATCAATCATCATCAATCAATCAATCAAATCATCAATCAATCAATCATCAGAAATCAATCATCAAATCAACCAACCAACCAATCAACCAAAATCATCAATGGAATCATCAACCAATCAATCAAAAAATACTCAAATCAAACAATCAATCAAACATTCAATGAGTCAATCAATCAAGCATCCAAACAAGAGACACACGGACAAGCAAGCAAGCAAACAAGCACACACACACAAACAAGCAAGCAAACAAACAACAGAGAAACACACAAATATGCCAGCAAAGACATTTCCATAGGGGAAAAAAAAAAAAACATGCTGCGCAAAGTGGTCCGACCAAGCTCCAAGGAGCACATCCCGCTGGGTCAGCAAAAAGGCCCCAGTCAGGAAGTCCTCGAAGCGCCAAAGACTCAAGTAGGCACACGCGGAAATTTCGGATACGCGGTGACTTTACGATAATGATGGTAGACGAGTTTATGTAGCAAAATTAATGGCGTACTAGTTGATTTTCACCACATGTCGCTCACATTTCGGAGTTTAGTAGGCAAAGCTCCCCTAAACTACCAGACTCCAAGGTGAACACGGTTTGTGGCTGAAAAACACCACCAGTTTCGTGAAATCCGCCCTTGAGAGATCGGTGAGTGACTTCTCGGGTTGCGTTGCGGGTTCCCTCTGACCGCTTCTTGGAGGATGGTTTCAAAGGGCGGATTCCCTTGGCCTTCGTTGTGCTCTCAAAGTGATCCCCCCAATCTCAATATCCCCCTCCAAATCGGGGACACCAACCAAGAGCTCCACTTCGGTTGCAAAATCAGGCACACGCCATGGCTGTCAAAGTGACAGGAAACACTGCGGCTTGAACATGGGTGTTTACGCAAAAAGGGACCCCAACGAATGGTTGGATTTTTAAGGTTTTCGCTTGAACTGGGCCTACTTTAGTAACACCCTGAAATCACACTGACATGAAGGTTCAAAGGGGATTCCCACCGCAATAATCATCTTGAGACCCCCTCAAAATGCTTTTTATAAAGGCACCCGACCCAAACAGCAATCAACAGGGCGGTTCAGGATCAATTCTAGACCAGCTCACATGTCCGAAGGCTCCAGAGGTTTGCGTAAGAAGAAGGATTTGACTTTTGCCTTGTTAGTCGATCAATCTTGATTATAGGGAAATCACACCTCAAAAAAAGAGGAAATGGCAAACATGGACCAAGGGCATCCGGTGTTTGTTGCTGCCCAGAGCAGGGATACCCTGTTTTTGAAGGCTGCCACACCCAAATAATGGAAGCAAAAGACAAACGATAGCTCCCGTGTCTGTCGCTGGATTTTAACACTGCCCCTTCCCCGCAACAAACAAGAGCATAGTACGGAGACAAAGCGAGCTGCATATACCCACCTGTTTCCATTCCTTGATTGTAGCTGGGTTCATTTTGACCTGACTTGCCAACATCTGATCTGGATTTCCTCTGGGGTCGTGCTGGCCAAATGATTTTATTCAAATCCAAGTCCCCCCATAGGGTTTAAGTAACCTCACCATTTCTCAGAAGGAAACAAGCTACATGAAAATCTATAGAAAGGCTTAACTACTTGCTTTAACCAGCTTTTATTATTTATGGCAACTAGTATTTGAAGGGTATTTGACGAAGATCCTGCAGATGGCTTCCTCATGTTGCTTGGACTTGGCATTATATTCTGACGGGGAAGACCCGAAGCAATAGTTTGTACACATGAAGCCCGCGTAAGTGATGTCCACCATGTTTGACAGTCTTTGATGGTGGGCCACTTTATGTCCCCGATCTCCGCGAGGGGTTCTGAATCAAGCAGTTGAACTTCATTCTCATTTTGATGACCCTTCGAACAGCACCAACAAAATGAGCTGGATGCCCCATCCATAAACTCGTGTTGTCCTTTACGGGGAATGTTCGATATGTGTACAATGGTCAACACGAAACTTCTTTTGCGGCTTTTAGTCATGGCTTCACTACTAGGAACCCTTATATGATATACATATATATATATATATCCGCCGACACTGCTTGGCGTGTCGGACACCTAAGAGAGGATAGAGGATAACACCCCCCCCCCCCCCCGCCCCACATCTTATATATGTGGGGTCCAGGCAGAGGGGGGGGGGGTTCCCCACGGTGCCGCGCCGTGATTTGATGACGTTCCACTAAACGTAGTCTTCGGGGAGCCGGGGGTCCCAGAAGCGATTCCCCCTGCCGGCTTTTTGCTGGTTTGGGTTTCCTGCTTGCTTTTGCGGAAAAACTCGGTGTTTTTGGATGTCCTCTTTGCGAAAACGCTGCAAAAACCGTGTTTTTTGTGGGAAATACTGGGCAAGGGGAAATGCAAGGAAGTACCAGGAAAAATCTGGAAAAACTCTGTGTTTTTGGAGGAGCAAAGGGGAAATGCAAGGAAGTGCAAGGAAATGAGGGGAGGAAATAGGAAGTCCACATGTCAGGAAAGCAACGGGAAATGAAAGGGAAACAAAGGGGAACTGAAAGGGACATGACAGGGACAGCAATGAAAACGAGGGGAGTGCAGGGGGAATGACAGGGAAACAAAGCGCAATGAAACCAATCGGCACGACGGGAGATGTAGGGAAATGACTCGCACCGAAAGAACGGGACATACATGGAAAATGAAGCGGACATACCGAAAAAATGACAGGGACATGAAGGGGGAGTTGAAAGGAATGGAAGGGACATGACCAGGACATGACGGGAAACGTGAAAAGGACATGAAGGGGAAATCAAGGGGAAAGCCAGTAGTGAGATGACAGTTCAGGGTCATGAAGGGGCAGTGCCGGGAATGCAGAGAGAGAGAGAGAGGGAGACTCAGGAGAGAGTGGCTTGGGGGGAATGGGGAGGATGGGGAGCAGAGGAAGGGACAGAGGACGACAGAACACACGAGGGAGACAAGGGAGAGAGGAAGAAGGAGAAAAGGGAGAGGACAATGTCGGCGGACTGAGCCGGAGGCTCTAAAGTATATGTATGATATGGTTGTCTCAACTCCTTAGATAGAGGTCCATTCGATTAGGGGTGTGCAGGGAATCCACCTTTTGCGTTGCTTTTGGACAAATTGAACAGCATGGTTTTTGCTTAGCACCCGGAGAGCGTTACCAAATGGCGCATCTCTCCGAGTGGATGCCTGGCAAGCCACTACAGCGGGCAACCAGCCATGTCCCTCGGAAATACAAGGATGATTCCCTTGGTTGTCCACTAATAAATGGAAATGGACTCAACAGGGAAACAAACATTTGCACGTGGACACGCACAGGGTAAGGAAGCCCACCATAGTACCTGGATCCCAGGGAACGCTGCCAGCCAGAACCCTCATATTCATAACAAAAAAAACGGAATTCACCCTATCATCTTGATCCATCACCCATGTGTTTGTGTGAATTTTGCACGGGTCCCGTGAAAAAAAATGAACTCCGAAAGGAAAAACACACACACACACACACACATACCACCCCCCCCCCCAAAAGAAAAGACCTCCCCCCCCGGACGAAACGGACTCCTGCGTGGCGCACACGGCCACCTCTCCGCTCTTCGGCGTCACCAAGCCATCTCTGACGCCCATCAGCGTCATGGCCTCCGCCCGAGCCTCCTCCTGGGCTTGGCACGCGGAACGCGGCGCTTGGCTCGTAGGTGACCCGTGCAAGCGGAAGTATTGTTGCTCGAGGTCGGAGTTGTTTTTCATGTTTCGTTCTGTCGTTCTTTGTTGTAGTCCTTTTTGATTTGTCTTGTTTCTTTCCTTCGATCTTTCTTTCTGTCTTTTCTCCGGAAAGGGGAGCTTGTTTGTTGTGTCCGCTTCGTGGGGGGGTGGTTCTACGGGAACATCCAGAACTGGGTCCCGCCTCCACCCATATTCCAAACTGGTTTGTTTCGCCTTTGCGGCGGCGCAAGCAACTTAAGTTGGGCAAGAGAGGTGGAAGGGAACCTTGCTGAATTGGGCGATATCAGACCTCCATGATTCGATGGACATCATTTACACAGGGAATTCTGTCCACCGATCGCGGAGAAAGGTCCCTCGTGATAATCTGTCGCCAGTTTGCCAGACCCAACCAAGTCAAGAGAGCACCCCTGGTCCTTGGGACTGCAACTAGGTCCTCCAGTAGAGAGGTTAGAATAAGCGTACCATTTTTTTACTGTAGTCGATTCTAGTAGGGGAACCCTCCCAACCAAAAAAGGGGAGAGAAGGGCACTCCTGGGGGACCTAGGGAAAGCAAAAATCAGGCGCCCAACTTGCGGGGGCGGTCCTTTGGGAGTGGGTGCCTGGAAAAAAGGCAGCCAGAGACTTTGGTGGGAGCCCTCAGAAACCCACTCGGCCGAAAGTCGACGAATCAGACGCGACTCGGCCCACATGACGTGCACCAAAAATCCAAAGGAATCCAAAGGACGAAGGGGCTTCCAAATTGGCGGCTGCCTCGAAGTGTGCAGGGAACTCGTCGTGAATTCATATTCCTGGGCTCCTTCTTTCGGCTGTCGCAAGGGGGAAGTCACTTTGCTTTGCTAATTACCTAGGCGTGAAAATGCCGAAACTTCAGGTGCTGGAGATCGCTAAAGATATACCCTGCCGCCGTGGCCATGGATCCTGACAGCCCCCGTTAAGAGGAACATGGTCTTCCAGGTACTCTCCCTAGGATCACTCTAACCCTCCCGGCAAGCCTGGAAGCGTTGGCGCCCTGTCCAAGAGGAATATACTTCCCAAAAACAACGTTCTGGCATGAAGCTATGCACCAACCATGCTGGTCTGTTTGGGCTAGATTTGACAAACACACGGGAGGTTGGCAAAATCATGGCCCTTTCGACCAGTGTCCCAAAACAGCCCGGCTTCTGGTTTGACATCCCTCAAATCCCAGCTTTCATAAACAAACACGGGCACCCATTCTTGTTGATTGAATCGAAACAGCCCCTCCAGAAAACGTCAAACTACATGAGCAAAGGTGCCACTGGGCAACTGGGTCGCATTTTCATCCGGTTCGATTCGCCGGACGAGTCCGACAGATTTTCCAGGCGTCCGTCTGGGGCAGGTGGATGTTCATCTCGTCCCCGTCAAAGTCCGCGTTGTAAGGCGCACACACGCACTCGTTAAATCTGAAGGTCCTGCCAGGCATCACCTGCGCGCAACACATGGGTATGGGTCAAAGTCGGGATCTGGACCGAACGAAAAACAAGAGTCGTTTCTCGGCATTGTTTTACATGAAAAGAGTAACTACGCTCAAGTGAAACACAACTACATCGTGCACAAACAAGCCCTTACAAACACCACATCATACCGTGGCTACAAGTAACATAACCCCTGTCCCCCTTATTATAAACTTCTTATAACCTATTCTAAGTACCTGAAACTGACCCTGAAAAAATGGGTCCATGACACCATTGTTTTGGGTAATGACCAACCATTGTTTAAGGGTCCTTAGGGAGACTCCAGGTACAAGTAACAACCCCTGTCCCCCTTATAACCTCTTACAACCTACCTGGATCGTCCAAATCATGGAATTTTAACGTAAAATCCGGAGACTACCACTTCTGTAGCGGTCCCAGTGAACAAACACGGAGTTTCCAAGCGAGGACGCGCGACTCTCGCGCCTTGGCGCGGTGGGCCATGATGGAGAGCCGGTGCAAGGAGGGCTGGCGGTTGAAGAGCACCACGTCACCATCGCGCCTTTGCTGCTGTTGACCCCTCTGCAAAAAGTTGTTTTTTCCAACTTTTTGTGGGTTTAGTATTGAAAACCCAAATTGATTTCCCAAAATTTGGGGTTTAGTATTGAGCACCCCTCCACTTTTTTAGGGGGTTAGTTTTGAACACCCCTCCACTTTTTGGGGGGTTTAGTTTTGAAAACCCAACTTGATAGTCCAACAAGCATCCAGCTTGATTTCAAGCAAAAAGTTAAAGTCTAAAGATCCGTTGCCCAATAGCAGTCAGGACGCATATGGCGCTCCACCAGGTCACCGCACCGCAGGCCTGGGCTTGGGGTGTCTCGGTTGGTCTGGTCTGGTTGTCGGTTGTTCAACTGAGCTGTCCTCAGATCCCCCTGCCAGAATTTAGTGGGCGACACGGGAAGCCCAACTAAAAGATAAAAAGGGAAAAAGCTAAGGGGATGGCTGGGAGCCGCCAAGGTTCAGCTTGTCTGTTTGTTGGCTTGCTGGCTTGCTTGCTGGATTGCCTTCTTTCGACCGACCCCTCAACATGCAGCTTGGGAGTTTCTCAAAACGGTGGACCCCCCTTGAGTTCCTCAATGGAACCCAAAAGGATGCGGTCGCCATGGGCGAACTCCCATTTTGAGAAAACGCCCCCTTGGGACACAGACCCCAAGCCCCCAACCGTCTGCACGGCTGTCTTGGGCTTCGCGCTGTCCGCCATCTGCTTCCGAAAGTTCTTCCGGATGGCCCCCAAATACTTCCTGCAATGCGGGGAGTGCCGTGTCTTTTTGGTTGGGCAAAGCTGAGGAGACCTCACCCCTGATATGAAAATCCTAATAGATTCACTGGCCCACGTACTGACTAGAATGGGATTGTGAAATGCCAAATTTCGTCATGATCGTGGGAGTAACCTTTTAGTAATAGGTGCCTACAAACCAAATTCCGTCATGATCTTGGGAGTAAACTTGAGTAAACTATTAGTATAGTGTAGCCTTATATTCTATCCAGGTGTATGGTGTGGTTTGAGTCCCTTTAGACGGAAAAACATAAATGCTGTGGTTTGAGTCCCTTTAGCAAAAAAACAAAACAAACAAAACAGTCCCTTTAGACGGAAAGAAAAGGAAGAACCAAAAAAAAAACGCTTTGCCCTTGCTGGTCCACACCCTCAATTGAGGCTTTCCCCTCGCGAGCGAGCCCCAAAAGCTTTGGGTGGCCGCCATGCTTTGGTTGAGCCCACAGCCTGGGCTTTGAGTCGCATTTGCCGAGGGCCTTTGGGTTGCTTAACCGGTTGGGATCTCACTTCAAACGTAGTGATGGTTGCGAAATCCTCTTAGGCACCACCGTTCAGAAACCCCTGGTGTTTCTGATTCGATTCCCCAACGTAAGTACCAACCAACAATGGTTTCAACCGTGGTTTCCAAGTGGTGCAGATTTTTGTCCATCCACGGTAGCTCTGGGTTTTCTCACTTCGGGTGCTGAATAGCAGAAGTTGAACTTAAGTTGTCAAAACACACCTGTGCGTTTTGGCTCCTTCTTGGGAGCAACGAATGACTTAGAGTTGGCTCTTCGACACCCGGCTCGGCCCACTACCTGACTCGCTGGCCCTTTGCCACGCAGCCGCCTGCGGCCATCGGAGGTGTGGATGAAACACGCCCCTGGATGATCCTCCGGCCCTCTGCCAATGGCTTCCCGGAGTCGCTGGAGGTTTGCCTCAGGGGATCGACCCCTTAGGTCATTCAACACCCCCCAGTGGATCCCAGGTAGGCCACGACTTTCGTTTGCTTTTTTGCCCCCTGGAAAAAAATAAACATATGTTCAGTAGTGAAATCGATTCCCTTTCAAACCAACAGGGGAACATAAAACATATTATTCTGCAAATTGAAGACTATGATAGGTAACCAACAATTTTCCTCTTGGTTTTGAAAAGGTTTTTGCTTGCTTACCTACGCATCACTGGGAAGGGAACGTGGGCCCATGGACTCCCCTTCCCAGGTTCCACGTCTACAGAACCTTCCAACGTGGTTTCGGTCGAATTGGGCCCGACGTGCCAACCCTGCCTCGCACACCCGCTCCGGGAAGGTCATTCGTTTGGCCACCCACTCAGGAATCACCACCTGCTCCACGGAGACGTTCGGATCAGGCGAGATCACCGTCCCTTGGCCATTCGTCAAACCAAAGCCGCGGAAATCGTCCATTCTCCGAAGAGATTCTGGATATGACACCCAAATCGATGGTTCAACACATGTGCGCAGACGTGCGGCGGAGTGCGCGGGCGGGTGTGTGCGTGTGCGTGTGCGTGTGCGTGTGAGTGTGCGTGTGCGTATGAGTGTGAGTGTGCGTGTGCGTGTGCGTGTGTATGTGTGTGTGTGTCAAGGTAGATCATGGGGGGGGGGGCTGACCATACTATCTATATGTATTTATATGTGTATATATATATATTTATGTATTTATTTATTTATTTATTTATTTATTTATTTATTATATACACATGTGGCTGGGTTGGCGACATAGCCACACAAGGGGAAACCAAATTGCCCAACGCAACCCAAGGGGTACACAGGGGTATGACGTTTTCCACAGCGGGCTGTCCAAGGCGCGTCCGGAGAAGTCCACTCGCTTGCCGCTCAGGTTCCCGCGGAACCGCCCCTCCTTGCCCTTCAGACGCGTGCAAATGGAGCGAACACTCTTGCCCTTGACCTGCGGTAGGCCCGACATCTCGGAGTTCACATACCTGCCGCGTCTGATCTGTGGGACTGTCTGACTTGGATGAAGTCGAGCCTGGAGTGGACTTCCGGGACTTCCTCTTCTCCCCCAAAAATGAACACCTATGAATCCAGCAGGGCATCTAATGAACACCTATTAATCCAACGGAAATTGATCCATCTAGGCCCATGATCAGCTTCCCCTTCCCTCGGCCGATCCCCATCTTCCGGCCTGGCGCAGGCCTCCTGCAGGAACTCCCAGGCCTCTAAGACCTGGCGCGGCAGGCCCCGCGCCAGCTGCGTCATCAATGCCGTGTTGGCCTGACGCGGAACCCGCGGCCTTCGCGGGTTCCCCGGGTGGCGCTTGCGCTGGCGAGGCACGTTTCGCGCTGTCGCCAGGTGCCCGCGGCTGCGGGGGTTCGTGGGAAGCACGTGGCTTGAAAGTTGCTGGGACCCTTCAGCTTTCCTGAAACAAAACGTGGAACGCATGTTCGATTCTTGCATAGGTGGACGTCCTTTGATGTCCCTTGAAACGCCCAACATGGGTTCAACTACCTTTCTCCATCCGGAAAGGGTGGGCGTCATTGATTCCACATTTGTGTTTGCTGCGCAAAGACAACTAACTCTTCCCGGTCGTCAGAATGTCTCTCGAATACCAACAAAAAACAATTCATCATCTTAAGCAAATGAAAGCTTGAGTTTCCCTCGCAAAAACGGAGATGGAGACAGGGTGACACTCTGCAAAAGCGGGGCTTAGGCCTCCTCCACATTAACACGGAACACCAGCTGGACAGTCCAGCGGAGTTTTTACCGATGCCATGTGGGTCTGAATCTTACTTAACCATAGAGGATTTGTGGACACCAGAAGCCTGGCCTCCACGATCTCTCCGATGGCCACCTCACACGAATGGAACGCAAACTGAAAATGTTTGCCTTTTGCTGGGGCTTCTCACCCGAAGAACAGGGTGAAACCGTGAAACCCACAAATCAGTCGAGAAATCATGAGAACTCGGCCCTACACAAGTCCAGCAAAACCGGAACATCTAGAATGTAGAACGTTAACGTCTGAAAATCAGTGCGTCACAAAGGTTTGTTCACAGCTTGCACTTTTCAGCTAGCCCTTGAACATCGTCCAAGCCTTGTTTGCTTAAGGACCTTTCGTTTCTTCCCCGGAGAACAAGAAGCTCAACCCCAGGGTTCAACCCCAAGTCAAGGAAAGGCACCATGGTTAAACATACGAGCCCAAGCTTAAGGATTGAATGGCGGTAACCATCCTTAGGTGAACCATGGTTATATGAGCCCAACCTTAAGGTTTGAATGGTGGTAACTAGCAACCATCAACTTATCCATGAGCCGACGTTTGTTGTTTGAATGGTGGTCACTTCCCAAAAGATCGATGACCATCCTTAGGTGAACCATGGTAAAAAATACGAGCCCAAGCTTTGTTTGAACGGTGGTCACTGAATCCCAAAAAATCCACTTGGGTGTGGCTCAAAATTAAACAGGAGGGGTTACGCAGGTTTTGGTCCATGTTTCCACTTACCAGGGTTCCATTTTGGTTACCGGTTTTTTGAGCCACAGCCACTTGAGCACCTCCCCCTCCCGCCGAGCTGCCGTCAAGTCATCCTCCCGGGTGCCTTTGTCGCCCATGCTGACGGTGGGGCGGATGCAGACTGGGGGCACCGGCACGGAGAACATGATGAGCTGCTCGGGCCGCAGGAAGCCTTCGCCCGTCCACACCCGTCACAACTTGGGTTTGGAGCCGTTTCTCAGATTTTCAGGGGATTTCCTTTTGGGAAAAAAAAGGAAAGCGGCGTCCTGGTTTGGGATGCTTGAGCTTCTCAAGGAATCGGAACCCTTCCCAACAAAAAAGGAAAAAGGGGCACCACTTGGCAAGTGGGGTGTGCAAGGTGATCCCATTGACTTTTGGTTTTGGGCTGGTAAGGCTTATAGAGGCCTCAAACAAATCGAGTGACGGTAGGGGAACCGCACATGGAAGGAACCCGCTTCGGGCGTTTTCCGCCGGGGAGCCCAGCAGCTCGCGGTCCAAGGGCACCACCCGGCGCAGAAGTTCGTAGGTCACCAGCGGGTTGAAGTCTTCGGAGGCCTTGTCTGCATAGAACTCCACCTCCTGAGAGGACGTTTGGACATTTTCGGTTTTGCTGCACAAATTGTCGAATATGGCATTCAAGAGGCAGGCTGGAGGTGCATGTTTGGAAGTTTTCGTTTTGCTGGACAAATTGGTGTAATACGGAATTTACGAGACAGGCTGTGCGTCGCGCCATTTTTTTCTGATTTTGCTGCGTGCTGAAACCACTGAAACCACACTGGGGGGGGGGTCTTTTTGCCACCGTTTGTGGAAAAATGATCGACCCCCTTGTAGTGAAGGTTCCTTTTTGAGGGGGTCGCCAATTTTCTCACAAAAGGTGGCAAAAAGACCCCCCTGAACCGCACGCCGTCAGGACGTTTGTCCAATGCGGCATTCAATCGCCCGAGACGAGCTTTGCTGTGAGCGCTCCCTGATTTTCCTAGATATAGATCGTGGTGATCGCGGGCGCTTTTTGGGAGCCCACATTTCATATGTCGCGGCCGCAGAGTTAGTTGGCTCCGGTATGAATAGCTGGCACGATACTGGGTTACTTTCACAACTGTTGAGAAGGCAAGACGAAAAAGAGAAGACTGATGGCAGATGCTCGATCCTGCCAAAACTTTTTTTTTTTTAAATAAGAGGCTCGTAGATGTGAAGACACTGGCATATAGACTACTTTGGTACACTCCTGGAACACCACCCCTTGGGGTGATTTTTCACTCAGACGGAGCTGCAGCTTGTGTGGACTTGCCAGGTGTGAAACGGGATTACGTTTCTCACACGTCACCGGTGATGGACCGCACTTCATTTTGCTAAGATATGTCTAAAATTATGTTTTCTCATTGCCGCTTTGATCGGGGGAATGTTGACTTGGACAAACCTGACACTTCCTGATTGCATGGTTGTTTGAGTTGATACGTGGCTTTCGATGGATCCCTTTTCTCTTCCAAGCCTTCAATTCGGACAACCCCTGCCATAAACAGTAGTATGTTTTCAGAAAACTATGTTTGTCGTGCGTGCAAGGAACCTTGTGAATCTATTGCCAGCGCCAGTAAATCGCGCAAGCAGAAAGATTGGTAACCGGGGGGGTGGGGAGGTGTGGGGAAATTCCAGGCGTGCGCCAATACCTTCTATCCTTTATTTAGCTCTGCGGAGGACAGCTACAACATCTTCATATACCAGAATATAAGTTTCTTCAATCACCGCCAGACCAATGGGGTCGAATCTTCAACAGCCACATTTGAGGTCCTTCTCTGACTGAAGGTCTCATGGGCAAACACAGCTCCAGAACACCGTGTGAACAGCCCTGACTATCTTCAGTACATGAAGCAAATCAAGAACGAATCCAGGTTGCAGCACATTGGCAAGGATCCGCACTACGTCAAGTGCCCGCACATCAACCGTGGGTTCGCATACATCTCCAAACAACACAATTGCAACACGTTCCACAATCCAGAGTGATTTGACAAAACAGCAACGAGAACGCTTTGGTTTCTTCCCTTAGTCAAACGGGGGAGATTCAATTTCCTCTGTGCACATATGAAGTGGTCAAGGCTAGTGCTGCAAGTGCTTTCGAGAACCAGCAAAAACAACAAGCAAAACTAGAAAAGGATCACTTCTAGGCGGTTCATCTTTGCCCAAACGCAAAGCTGACCCCTACCGCCTTGCGACTCAATGGACCTGGACGAGGCCTTTGTCAAGTGCGACGTTTCAGGCTGGCCACCCTTCTCTGGCCACAGCTTTCCTTGGGTTCCCACGGCCATGGCTCCTTGTTGAAGAGCCTTGCGACATCGAAGGAAGCCGCAAAGGGCCTGAAGTCGAGCCGCTCAAAACCTCCTTGCCATGAGATAAGGGAAGCATCTAGCATAAAAAGGAAGGATTTGCAACGGAGAGGAACTCTTTCACAAACAAACCACGGACCAGGATGGATTCGAACCATCATTTTGATGTGTGTCAGGCAAGAGCAGCTTGCCTAAATGGCACCTTATCCATGCTATTTGTACTCTGAACCCTATTTTCTCACGAAATCTAGCTGAGTCATTTGGTTTCGAAGTTTCGGGGACTGCTGGGGGACACCACTGCTATCACCCAACACACCCGCCATTCACACCGGTCGATGGTAGTTTTGACCGTTGTGCGTCGGGTCAATCGTTTGAAGCCAAACCAAGTCATGATGCGAGCAACATGTCAATAATTCTTCAGCCCGCATGAATTTCAAAAAACTTATGTCAAACAGCCCCCAGCTCCAGCACTCCCTGTTGGGCTGCCCCAAACGGGCCGCCCCAGCTTTCACGGGGTCGACGACGAAAATCTTTCGCCGGGCGCCCCCGCGCGGAGATTTCCTCAGGCGCCATCTTATTGGAGGGCCCCACGGCGTGGCGCAAGATCAGCGGCACCCCGGTGCCCTTCCGCACCGAGGTGTTGTGACTGCCGCAGTGCGGGCACAGCCGGGTGATCTGGCCAGGAAAGCCCGCAATCCGTTCAAGTCGGCTTTCTTTCTGTTCATGTTTTTGTTGTTTCTGCGCAAAAGAGGGGGGCACAGCTAATGCGTTGAAGTGGGATTTACGCGAGCAAACTGGGGATTTTCTAACAACTTAAGCAAGCAGGCGTTGGGGGTATCCAGAGAGTTCCGCGAGGCACACGTGGCAGGTTCCTAGGCAGAGAACCATGGGAAAGGGTATCTATCCAGTATGGAATCCAGTATGAAACGGGACCGTAACGGACCCCGCTAAAACTAATTTGAGAACCCTCAAGATTCAGTCCCAGCTTGGCACGGAACCAACTCTGAAACAGTCTTGCCGAAAGGGAAAACTGAAGGAACCCCAAAAAGGTGGAACCGCGCAAGTGCATTTGCTGCGAAGTAGCTGAAGAACAACAACGAGGAAACTCTTTCCGGCACATATGAGTTTCAGTAGTTTTAGGTGACTTCACCAAAAACACATCGATTTTCAGGAAAAGCAAGTTAAAGGCGAGAACTACCGGCAAATTCATGGAGAATGAATCTCCAGGATGGCGTAACATTCCGGAAGATTCATTCTCCGGGCTTTTCCTGGTCGTTTTGGCTTGGTAGTTTTGGGCGTGTGGACGTAAACCGGGAACCGGGAAACCCATGGTTTCCTGGTAGTTTTGGGCGTGACGTAAACCGGGAACCGGTGAACCGTGGAACCGGGAAACCCATTGGCACCAAGACTTGGTTGACGTTGGAAGGGGAGCAAAAATTTGCAAAGTTTAGCAGTTAAGTGGTTGGATTTCAACCACTAAACCACAATAAGCAAAACTGTAAAAGCAATGTTTCCCAACAACAACCATGAAGTCGCGCAACCTCCGGCCTGAGGCGTTTTGGTTTGGTAGTTTTGGACGTGGAGGTTCCTGGAACCGGGAAACCCACCCATTGGACGCGCCTTGCAGGTCTCCAAAATCTTCCGTTGCAGCGCCTGGCGTTGCAAGTCGTCGATGGGACGCCGCAGGCGCCGCAGGAACTTCTGCCCGGCGTCCGCCGAGAGGAGAACTCTGGCGCAGGTCTTGCAGAGACACGCCAGGATCCTACATGCAAATGCTTGGTTGCTGCCACGACCCCGCTGCAAAAAGTTGACCACTTTTGATTTTCAACCAAAAAGTTAAAGTCTAAAGATCCAACCCAATAGCAGTCCAGAATGGATGGAATTCTTGCACAGGATTGCAGATGCGTTCCTTTAGGGAACCTGGAACTGCTTAATTACTTGGTTGACGCTGGAAGGGGAGCACAAATTCTCAAATTTTAGCAGTTAAGTGGTTGGATTTCAACCACTAAACCACAATAAGCAAAAATGTAATTAAACAAAATGTGTCCCAACAACAACCATGATTAAACAACAAGTAACTGTTTTGCTGTGGGAAAGGGTTGCCCTTTGAGAGAACCCCAGAGGTGCAAAAAAATCTGCAAGGCCAGGAGGGCTCGAACTTTGCTTCCCCTTCAACATAAAAAGGAACCCATGTGAAGAAGTTTCACCAAACGGAGTTTCCTCTACAAATGTTGTGGTTTGTTGTTGGGTGTTGGAGGGTTTTGGATGGCTCCATGTTAAGAGGTCCTTAGGGCTCCATGTTAAAATTGTAGGGGAGACATGCGCCATGCGCCATCTTCTGGGCCCTGAGACCCAAAGTGTCCCAGCGCTTTCCAGATCCCAGCGCTTCGTGGCAGTGCCGAAGGCCGAGCAACTGTGGAGGGAGACAGGCGGCCTTTTCAGAAAGTTGAAACGCAAATCCCCGAAGATGGCCAGGGTCTAAAATCCCAAGGTCTGTAGAAGTGCAACGTAATTCAACTTCCTGTGCCAGGAGCCTGGGATATTGTGTTCATGGACCTCGGAGCCTATATAGAGGAAATCAAAGGAAGCGCTCAGGTCGTTACTGGTAGTGGGTCTCGGCCTCATTGACCCAATGGGTCGAAACATGGCTTCACGAGCACAAGAACCACCGATTCCTAAAACAAAGCACCGTGGACCAGGTTGGCTTAGGGACTACTTCAAACCTCAGCTCCCCCTTTTCCTTTTCTGAGCTGTCCTCAGATCCCCCGCTAAAAGTTACTAACTCTTAGCGAATAAATGAACAACACTAAACACTAAATTTTAGCGGGGTAAATGGAAAACCCCCACTAAACACTAAAAGGCGAAAAAGCCTTTGGAACCGGACGGCTGGGAGCCACCACTACCTAGACTCTCCTTCTGATCCTTTAAAAATGGGTCCATGACCAACCATTATTTTGGGAAATGACCAACCATTTCTAGGTCCTCCAGTAGAGAGGTTAGAATAAGGTGCCAACTTTTCCTGGTTTGTCTATTTTAGTAGGGGAACCCTTCCCCAAAAAAGGGGCACTACTGGGGGACCTAGATTTGTTGACTCCAGGTACTTCACTTCAAACCTCAGCTCCCCCTTTTCCTTTGGTTTCCGCTTTAAGTCGCCAGGCGTCTGGTGGGTGTGCCTCAGGAACCCCCCGTGGAACACCGGCAGCGCCAAGGAGATGTGCCCGAAGTGGCCCACGCACTCGTCGATGCGCTTCTCGCAAGTTTGGCAGGTGCCGGCCTCGTTTCTCCAATTCGGAAGTGGTTCGACCAAAAACGACCACGATTTCCCTTCGAGTCCCTTGAAATACCAACCAACACCTTGTCCAAATTCCATCTTGAGAATCTTCCATTCCCCCGACATCACCCTTAGCCGCAACTTGCAGCCAAGAAGCAATGCTTCAACTGGTCTCAAAGGGAAACTATGAACAAGTGGAATTTGGGGTAAGGCCCAGACCAGAACGTTGGACAGGACACCATATTTTCGTTGATGTGGAAAGGCTTTGGAACGGACTCCCAGAAAGGGGCTGGGAGTGAAAAAGCAAGCGTTCAGTAACCCGACTCAAGTCCCCAAGATATTCATTAAGACCTACCTGACCTGCACCACTTCAAATCCCAGAGTCGTCGAGTCGTCTCACGACCGGCTTGGGTGAGTGTCGGTCTTCGAAGACTGGCAGTTGTTCGGGTTGGACAACCAAAAACAGCATCTACTCACCCAAACGGGTAAATTGGCGTGTGCTATGCACCCGCTCAGCCTTCATGTCAGCTATCTGCCATGCGTCCGTGCAAAGGAGTTGGAAACCAGTCTGTCGGTGCCCAAAGATCTGCAACAAACAACAAAGGAATCAAGATATTTGTTTTGTGACTTCCAATGAATCTGGAGGAACCTGCGAGGAATGCCTCCAAAAAACGAATTTAGACCCTCAACTCGGCGGCTTTACTATGGTTTCAGCATGTTGCCACAGGAAAGACTGAAGCCGGAACTTACCCAGCGAGTCCCTTTTTCGAGGAAAAAGGGGTCTTCCAGAAACCCTTCTGGTCAGGTTCCATGTGGGGAGGGCAACGCGTCAACAAGCTTCAATCAGAAACCTGGCTGTGTCTTGTCTTGGTGGGACCCAATTTGAAAGGTTTAAAGGGAAACCAAAAGGACAACATGACGCCCACCTTTTCTGGGCTGCCCGCAGATGCCTTGCTAAAAGTTTAACTTTTAGTGGGTTAAATGGAACTCCCCACTAAACCCTAAAAAGCTAAGAAGGTAAGGAACCGGACGCTGGGAGCCACCAAGTTTTGTGGGTTCGACAGATGTCTGACCTTCCAACATAATCCCAACTTCCGCTCGGCCAATCCATCGCCTTGGTGTTGCTGCCCATGCGCGCATCCAGGGGCCCGAAGGTGAAGGGCTTCTCCGTGGAGATGTCATAGTTGATCTGGTTCAGGACCTCTACCTCCGAAGCGCACAAAAAAACAGAGCTTAAAGCCAGTTGGCTGTGGGTCAACACCAACGGGATCCCATTTTGGCGTAGGCGCACCACCCATTTTAGTCTATTTTAGTGGGGATTGGGATGTTCACTGGGGGTACCGAATTTTGACCCATGGCCAATTGTCCCCACAGCATGCGCACCCCCCCCAAAAGGAGCCTTTTTAAAAAGAGCCCTGTGGTCGACATCACTTATGTTCACCAACCACTGAGGAGGTCAGGATTTGGGAGAGTTGGCTGGGTCAGTGGGCATTCCAGGATTGGAAGATGAGTCGGGTCCCTTCCCAATCTCCGAAATGTTCTACTTGAATGTTTAACTGTCCACCACAATGTTTAGTAAACAGGTTATAGCCATGTTTCTAAGTCAACCACCCTGTGCTGTGTCAAATGTATCCGTGGTTGTAGCCTTCTTGCTACGTAGGTAGGCCGTAGGAGAGCTGTTTTTCAGCCCCACCTCGCTATAGGTGGCAATCTCATCAGCCGTGAGCACCGAGAAGTTCACGCAATCCACCTGGTAGTTGTTGAAGGATTCCTGCACCGTTTCCTTCACAATGGGCGCCGCTTTGGCTTCTCCCTCCGCCTCCATACGAAGCTATGACATGGCGACAAAGGATCTTAAAGCCAATTGCCGGTTCAATAAGTGTCTACTTCCGGACTACATCGACTCTAGGCCAAAATCTGGGGTACACAGAAACTCATGTTGTAGATGGGTAGTATTTCGTCCACCTGATACTAATTCTGGAGACCCCAGGTACTCTGCGTCCAAACAGGTTGTCCCCATCTGCGCAATTTCATAGCACTCCCCTTGAGGCTTTCATCTCACGGAAACAAGAGTCAGCTAAAGCGCAGGCACCACCAACCTCGCGGTGAGGCAACCGGTGCTTTCGGGAATCCAATTTCTCCAAATCTGAGTGCCGCTTCCCCATCACCCCCGCGCGAAGTGAGACTCGCAGCCGCGCGATTCACAGCTGCGATGGATTTTTCTGGCAAACCAGTCTTGGGGTTTGCCCCTAGGCGGGGTTGGGGCCAACGCGCTGTTTACGGCGCGTAAAACAAGTCCTTGTTGAAACACACTCCTTTGGGTTTCCCTTCAACAAGGCATCTAAGTCTGGATGTTCAAACCGTTCTTGCCCAACCCTGCCCCGGAAGAAACGCGAAGCATGGCAAAGGGAATGGCACTCGTTTTCTAGCTGTCAGGTGTAAAAGCCTCGAAAGCATCTCGAAATGTGATATATATATATATATATATATTAATGATAAAAAAAAAAAAAAAAAAAAAAAAAACGAATCCCTGATTCACTCAGGTCCTCCCAAATCAACCTGGAAGCCAAGGAAGCGGCTTCCCCCAGTGGCCTTCCCCAAAAAATGTCTAGGTCCTCCAGTAGAGAGGTTAGACCAAGTTGGTACCAACCTTTTCTTCTGGTTTGTCTATTTTAGGTGAACCCTCCCAACCAAAAAAGGTTGGGAGAGAAGGGCACCATTTTTTTGGGGGACCAATTGGTGTTGACCCACATCACTGGCTTGTCGAATGGCTTCAGATCCGCGCCGGAGAGCTCTAGGCGTCCTGGAGCGCTTGGGAGGAATGGTGAACTCTCCTTTGGCAGTAGATCGAGACGAGAAACATTCTTTGGTTTCAGTGGGGAACCGAATTTCAGGAAGACAAGGAGCATCTCTTGCACCAGAAGTGCTTTGGATTGTTCAGAATTTCATCTTCCTCTGACCCAGGACTGGAACATATGCAGGCTTATCCACATGGCATTCCTTTCCTTGCCTAGTCATCCCAGCGTCCCAGAAACACCTTCCGCATCCCTTCTCTTGCAGAGTCTCTGCTGGTTGGTGAAAAATTGGCACGGAACTGCGACAATTCTTCCACAAGGCTCAGAGATTCAGCATCGGGGACGAGCGAAGTGAGAAAGGAAGCCCTCACACCGTTCCCTTTCCTTTTGTATCCTCACAGTCTTTACATTCCCCTCATGCCGCTCGCCGAGCGTAAGGATGAGGAAGGAGAGTGAGGAAAGGAGGAGAGCCACTCATAGAAGCGCCTCCCGATCTCTTTTCCCTTCCTTCTAGCTCCCTTTGACAGGCTATGCCGTGCAATGAGTGAGTTAGGGCAGGAAGAGAGTGTCCATTCCCTCCGTCACTTTGTACCTGCTGTCATGTCCATGTCATCTTCATGGACTGGCTTGCCTACAGTCAAACGAAGGGAGATGAGTAGGGAGACAGGACATGGCATTCCTTTCCTAAACCCAACCTACCCAAGAATCAAGATGTTGGTGTTGGAGAAGGAAAGGAATGGGAAGTGGGTGAATGAGAGAATGGGCTGGCATCTTCCTTCACCAGCCCTCACCCACATCTCTCCACCACCTGTCAGCTCTTGGAATCGCATGCCACGGAGAGACTGGAGCGAGGGGAGGTGGGTGACTTTCTATCTAAGGCAGGAAGTGAGATAAGGAAAGAGAAAAATGAAGAGATAGGAAAGGAAGAGAAGTGTGGAATGGACACGATTTTGTGATACCATTCCCTTCTCTTCACATCTTTACCTCTTACATGCCATTCCCAACATCTCGCACACCAAACAAGAAAGCGAGATGTGGGATAGGGAATGGCTAAGAGAGAGGAGAGGCATGTCATTTCTATGTCTTATTGACATGCCATGGAAATTCGCCAAGAAGCGAGGATGAGAGACAAACAGGTCATTCCCTCGCTGCCCATCTTCCCTCTCCAACCTTGATGAAGCTCTGAGACTCTGGAAAGAAAGAAAGAAGGGACAGAGGGAAGAAGTGAAGAGATGGGAACTCCAAATATGAAATCCAGTCCAGATTCTTTATTATTGTTCCTCTCCTTCCATTCTCTTCGTTCATTCTCTCACGATTTCTGGAGTTCCTGTCACTAGGAAAGACTCACTGGAATGGTCCAAATGATAGACAAATGAGATAACGACCGTTCCATTCCTTCTCCTAGCTCTTGCCGTCACTCTGGATCCAGAAAGTAACCACAATGAACGACTTTAGGATGTGAATGAAGGTCGGGTAAAGGAGGAGCCTTGCTTCATCTCCCATCCATCACTTCACCATTATAATGCAATAATTGGCTGGTGAGTGACATGGTGAAGGAAGGTGAGGTGGCATGATGGTTCTCTTTCGCCGCCTCCAACTGTCCCACCTTTCTAAATCCCAAAGTGGTTACACGGCCGTAGCTGGAGAACCTCATGTAGGAAGCTTGGGAAGCGGTGAGGAAAGAGGTGAGGTCCAGTCACATGCTTTCCTCTCGTCATCTGACTATCTCATATTCCTTCCTCACTTCTCTCTTTTGAGTATGTTTGCATTCTGACATTATCAATCTATGATTCACGTTATTATTGTTTTGTTTTTTGTTTTTGCCTAATGTCTTACATGTATTTTACTATCTATTGGTCCTCGTCTCTATTTCTTCATTGGGTCTTTTTGAGGTTCCTTGAGCCCCTTGTCTCTCTGAATCTCGTCAAGGCGAAACTCGCAAACTGCCATGGGCCCGACAGCCTTGAGTGAACTTAGTTGAACCTGGCTTTCCAACTTCCAGTCCAAACTCTCTTTTTGTGGTCAGCGGTTGACATCATACCCTTAAAACACATACCTGGCGTAGAGGGGGGCTGTGTAACTCTACTTCCAATCTGATCGGGTCAATCCTTGCTTGCCATGAAGTCTGCGAAAAGACTCCATCCCCGAAAAGCGCACCCCAGGAGTCTTTCAAATGGGCGGGCCATCCAACCAGAACCCCCCTAAGGCCCTAAGGTGCCCTCAGAAATGACGCCAACCCCCGCCCTCGGAAAAATGAACCTGCCCGGCCCCGCAAACCTGGCAGACAAATGAAACCGTTTTTGGGGATGAGCCAAGGAGCCAAGGAAAAGCTATGGGGAACCGTTCCGAGAACGACCAACTGCAGTAAGTGAAGTCACAAAACCCGATTTGCCCTAGGGTTGAACGTTGGTGCCTGTTGTGGGGAAACTGACGGAAAGCAAGCCAATCTGGAGCAACCTGTCTATATTTACCCTGTGAACATGACCCATCAAAGTAACTTCACTTCAAACTGGTCCTAAACTGACACATCGGATTGCCAACAGACATGCAGGGATGCAGCTAAGGACATCCCATTGGAGCCAAGAGCAAGGGTGCTCCAAAGACTCTTTCACTAAGTTGTGGGTTGGAAGAGGACGACAAAAGAACCCATCAAGATTCTACCCTTCAACTGCTTCGAGTCAATTTCGCGAGATGATGGTCGAACATGGTCTAGCTGGGTGAGGGATAGGCTTGCTGCAAAAAGGAAGCCAACATCCCAAGCATTGCCGGCAAGAATGAGTCAGCATCAACAGCCGCATCGGCTGCATTCCACGCATCACCTGCCTGCATCATGAGCATGACTAGCAGACCAAATACTCCCAACAACAGCAATTATTGAACACACATCTGAGAAAATCGGGAATGAGTCAGAGCAAGAAAGCTCTCGTAGACATTCATGAGATAAGGAATGTGGGTTACTCAATCAGATTCCCTGAAGCAAGGGGAAAAGGGACCCCCCACTTGAAGCCTCAAGCTGTGGCTGACGATTCATTCCTGGCAAAAGAAAAGACACATGTCTCCTCATTGTCGTCGTACTGGGCCAGGACGCCCTGGACACATGCAAAAAGCTTACAAAAACACGCTGTGCCAGCTGCAGAAAACTTACTAAAACCAATGACGTCCAATGATGTTCAGTCAAACTGCAGCAAGGGCTGCAAAATAATCGAGGTGGGGGTAACGTCATCTTCGTTCAACCAAAACATTGGCAGCCCATTGTATCAATTTTGACCCCAGATGAATTACACCTGGCACATGTAGATGCAGAAGGTGCCGCCCCATACCGTGCCTCCTAGGTAATCAACTAGACCCTCGAACTCCACATTTATTGGACCTGAAGCAAACTTGTTGGTTTGCAGAAGCCAAAAAGCCAAGCGCCAAAAGCATCCGTTGAGTTCTGGGAGCGGCCTTTTCCCACAGCACATGTAAAAACATAATTCGGGGGTCCCATTGCAAGAGTGAACATCCAAGCGTGGGACCAACAAGGTCAATTACTCGGTACGCAAGCCAACGGCACTGAAAGGAAAAGTGGAAGTCACACGAGTGGGAAGTGCTTGGCCTAAGCCTTAAGCCCCGGGGATGTGTCAAAACTAGGAACTCTTTCGGTCGAGAACGGCTTCGAAATTGAACCGTGTGCACGCATTCAGGGAGCATGAGTAGCGCTGCTCAGACGTGTTCGCTTGGCTCCTTTAAGACTGCGTCGTGTTTGTTCATGCATTCCACACGTCACGCACTTTCATTTTTGCAATGTTTAGGCCCCAGGTTCGTCCTTAACGTCCCTAGAACAAGTCGCATGAGGGGAGCCGATCCCCGTAGGACATACCGGACCAAAGAGCCGCCAACATGCGCGTGTCATAGGTTTGGGGAGCCCTCTTACTGTCTCAGGACGGGTTGACCTCCTTCTATGGGTGAAGGAAACCAAACGATCGAAACGTCAGCGGACTGGGCCAATGAGTTTGACCGTTCGAAGTTGAAGTGAGAACTGGGGGCACGTCCTGTAAATCTGTCAGTGAACGAGTGGTTTTGATGGTAAACTAATTAGTCAACCAAGGTCCTCCAGTAGAGAGGTTAGAATAAGGGTACCCTTTTTCAGTAGTCTGTTTTAGCAGGGAACCCTCCCCCAAAAAAGGGGAGAGAAGGGCACTACTGGAGAACCTAGCAACGGTACTTTGGGGTTGCCTTTCCGCACTTGCCGCAGACTTGGAGAACTGTGCACCATGGTACAAACATTGTCCGTGTAAGACATCTTCGTGTCACCTGGTGCCAGCATGTCGATCCAACCCGTTTTTAGTGCTAGCCCCCCCTAATTTGGACACACCTTTTTTTGCACCCCTGGACAGGGAGTTCCAGGAACACCTGTCCAAACGAGCTCAGTTTGCAAGGGCTCAGGAAACTCTTCGGGAGCTGTGCACCAGGCGATCCATCGCCGGTTGCCAGTGGGCCAATTCAATGCATTGCCCGACCTGGACTTTGAGCATCGCAGGGATGAAGTCCACCTTGGATGGTTTGAGACGTCTGTGTCGATGTTAACCCCGGATTAAGCAGAACCCCTGATTGATTTTGATCGCGGGGTGTCCCCGACTTTAGTGGGGATTCAGACCGCTTGCTTTTGGAGGAAACACCCCCCTAATAATGGGACCGGTTTATTAATCCTGGGTCAACATTAGTTGAGACGTCTGTGTGTCTTCTTCTGTGCTTGTTTCGCCTGGGTAAACGCATGTGAACAAAAAGTTGATTCTGACCTAGGTCACCAACCAAACTGGAAGTCGCCCCTAAAAGGAATTGACGCTGCGAGAGGGTACTGGGGCAACACACAGCCAACTGGCGGGTCAAACAAAGAGCCCACTTCGGGAACACTTAAAGGGCTGTTGCCAAGCATGTCCGCAGTTCTTCGTTTGGTTAGATTGGATTTGAATCGTTTGGATAGGAGGCGTTCGCTATGACAATTGTGATTGTTTTTTGTTCAATGGCACCTTAAAAAAACTCATAAATATTCTTTCCAGCAATCCACATGCCTTTAAACCACGGCCACCAAAACTCGGAAGTGGCGCGCCGGTGTGATCCCCAACCCAAGTGTCTCCCCTTCTAAAACCCAGACAACCCAAAGGTGTGCTCCTGTTGGCTTTTTGTGGGGACACCATCCACACCTGATTGAAGCTTAGAGGAAGATGTGGAGTTCCGCTTTTGCGGTCTTCACTATTGCTTTTGGGTAGATCCCTTTATGCCGGTTTCTTTTCAGGACTCAAGTGGGTGTTTCCCAAAATCAGGACTCACATGATTTGTTATTTACCATGGTGTCTTATCTTACAAGGACATAACTGCTAGCTGCTGGATATGTCTTATTCAGTCGCATCCCGATCAAATGTAGGATTGCTGTTTGCCTGGAGCCCAGCCATAAGAAGGTGAGTTGTGGTGGCTGATTCCAGCTTGAAACCTAGACATTTGCTCATATATTTTGGCCGAGTATGGCCGAGTACACGCACCCCTTTGAAAGCGACTCGACTGTCAGTCCCCATACATTTCCCCTGAAACATCACCCAACCAAGAGAAAACTCGCCTAAAACAAGTCCAAGTGCAATTTAGATGGACTCCTCGGAACGAAAAACATCTTCTCCGGGGAACCCTAGATCCCCCAGCCTGTCCGGGTATTGGGCTCTTCAAGCGCACTGCCAACGGCCATCGGGAGTAGGGCCCCGGGCGAAGGTGATCTTCCGAAACCGGCCCAGCTCGCTGCCGGGAGGCAAACTTAGAAGCGCCGCCAGCTCCTCGCAGGTGAGCTCGTGCCGGCCGGGCGTGAGGGAAACGGTTCATGGGCTCCCGGATGAATTTTGACTTGGTGCCTTTTCCGTTCCGGCGGGGCGGGGTGTTCAGGTGGGAGACACCATGATTTTCACCCTGGAACATCATTCGCCAAGGGAAGAGAACGCTGGTTGTTCAGGGCACCGGAGCTTGCAGAGCTGCCCCAAACCCTGGCAAAGACCCCATGTCAAATGAACCTCCTTTTAGTATGGTCGGGGAGCCCAGTTAAGAAGCACCACAGCAGTCGCCGCAAAACAAAAAGCGGCACGGTTGGAGCTCAGCTCAAAGAGGGAATGCCATGATTTCCCTCCGTCAAGAATAGGTGACTTGACTAAGATTCGTGACCAAACCGGCACATGCACAGCACGGTGGATCCCGAATGTTCACAGTGTGCTTGCCTCATTTAGCAATGGCTTCGCACTCTTTCAGGGTGGCTGTTCACCCCTTGTGGCATCCAAACAACTCCTGGCGAACACACGAATATAACACTTCTGCGAGCTATGGCGTCTATTTGCTGTTCATGAGCTTCTTCGCGTACTCGCATGAATGGCTGTTGAAAGGAGACCAATCGGAAGCGACCCATGGTTAGGGTTCCCCTACTTCAATAAAGGACTCTGCACTACTGGTCCCAAACAAGAGAGCCGCAACATATACCTGAACCTTCCGCTTGATCACTTTTTGTCTGCCGCTTTGGTGTTTAAACGCAAACATGAACAATACATAAAACCATATGTGTGCAGTGTGGTTCTGGAAAACGAGCGGAAACCAGTTGAAAAGGACATATAGAGACCCGCAAAGCATGTTGCCGAGTGTTAGTGTTTGTTTTTGCTCAATCTGGAAGAAATGTGCCCAAAGAAGGTCTAGCTACATATACTCACTTCCTGAATGGATTGGCCAGACCAAGTCTGCACTTGTTGTATACCACTCAAATGGCCTTCGAAAAAGTGATAAAAGTCCATGAGCTCAGGAAGTGTGCTTAGATGTGTGTATACATGCATGTATATTCTGCATAATGCTGCGGTCGCTCGTGCTCCCTCCGGCGTGGGCAGGTCCTTGTCTGGCGGGTGTGGTATGCCAATCTTCGTCAGGATGGCCAGGAAATCCTGCCCGCTCTCTCGCATTCCACCGAGGCTCGGGAGCGAAAGATCCTTTCGGGGGATCCTGGAATTCTAGATTTCAAAAGTCCAACCAATGACAGGCCATATTTCCGGGGAGTTGCTTTCTCGCGGGTTTGGCATATTTCAGGGCTCCGAATCCGAAGTTGTAAAATGACATCCAGGTAATTCTGGTCCACCTGCCCTTGAACGAGCAAATCAAGACACACCACGCTCGGTTCCTTGCTACACAAGATTGTAAAAAGCTTAGCTTCAGTGATTCCAAAGGAAGTCCCCGTTTGAGTGACATTGAGTAGTCATGGGTTTTTAGAATCACAGAAAGCACCGAAAGGGACAACTCTCTTCACAACCGCAGAGCAACGTCTTGTGCAAACAGTTGCCAAATCCAACAAAGGCTCACGTCCACAGTCAGGACTATTTGTTCACCACTTCTAGGTCCTCCAGTAGAGAGCTTAGAATATCAGGGTACCAACTTCTTTCTGGGTTGTCTATTTTAGGGGCACCCTCCCCCCAAAAAGTTGGTAAAAGGGCACCAATTGCTGGGGGGCCTACGACAAGTCCAGCACCTCTTGTCGGATGGGCCTTGAGGATCAAGGTCTCCTGGGACCTGGACTCTTCGTAGACCTGAAACCATCCAACAGGTGGTGGGAATTTGGTTCACTGGTCTGTTGGTTGATTGCTTGGTTGCTTGGTTGATTGGTTGGTTAGTTGGTTGGTTGGTTGCTTGGTTGGTTGATTGGTTGATTGGTTGGCTGGTTGGTTGGTTGCTTGGTTGATTGCGTGGTTGCTTGGTTGATTGGTTGGTTAGTTGGTTGGTTGGTTGCTTGGTTGGTTGATTGGTTGATTCGTTGGCTGGTTGGTTGGTTGCTTGGTTGGTTGCTTGGTTGCTTGGTTGATTGGTTGGTTAGTTGGTTGGTTGGTTGCTTGGTTGGTTGATTGGTTGATTGGTTGGCTGGTTGGTTGGTTGGTTGCTTGGTTGCTTGGTTGATTGGTTGGTTAGTTGGTTGGTTGGTTGCTTGGTTGGTTGATTGGTTGATTGGTTGGCTGGTTGGTTGGTTGCTTGGTTGCTTGGTTGCTTGGTTGATTGGTTGGTTAGTTGGTTGGTTGGTTGCTTGGTTGGTTGATTGGT